GGTATCTGAGCCTACCTGAGCCTATGGGATAGATATATATCTACCCATTTCTTGGATAGATATCCTACATATATATATATATATATATATATATATATATATATCCAAGAAATGGGAGGTTATAAAATGGAGATCGTGACGCGGCCTTAACGTAAACTCGTGACGCGGCCTTAACGTAAACTGTAACCACATTAAGTTGTAATTTCTAAACTAAAATGATCAATATAATTACTGTAAACGAAGTTTGGTGAGAAACTCATTTTTCTCATGGCTTCTAATTTCAAAGGAAAGATCATCAACAACGTGAAAATCCTGAGGTTTGAGCTGAGCTAAGAATGCCCTCAAAGTTTGATTCTACGAGTTATATGAGTCATTTCAATGTGATATATACGCGTCCAAATTTTTTTTTTCAAGATTTTCACGGGAAAATGGAAACCATGTCTCACATGGATGCTTCATGGTCAATGCTTAGTCTATATATGGCAAAACGTTCCTCAACATTTCTTTGGTAACATTAGGGAAATGGCAAGTCAGGTATGGGGACCAAATCTTGACACGGTGATGTTTTCCCCCACACCTTCTCTCTCTCTCTCTAACCATTCAAACCTTTTGTCTAATATTTATATCGATAGTTAATGTGTTTTGGTCAGGCTACTCCAATTTACTATTTTCAGATGTAGAGTCCACAAATACCGGCCAAAAAGTCCTTCTTCCAAGTCAGCACCTGTCTTCGTGTATTAGAAATTACAGAAAGAAAAAACTTCACACGATCAACAAAAGGAAAATATGTATCAATTATAAATTTATACTCAACCTAAAAATATATATAAGATTATAAACGAAATTACTTTTGCACTTCATTTTGTATTAATATTAGTTCTATTCATATTGTAATAATCGATCAAATAGTCAGATAACAATTTGAATTTTTTTTTTAAATACCAAAACTAATTTTTGCTTGAGTCGTTGAGTTTTTATTCAGTGTAATTTGACCAACAAATTGGCTAAGTGACCGAAAATTATTTTTAGTAAAAATTTTATCAATTTTGCAAATAATAATAATAATGTTGATTCGATATATATAAATTTGATAAAGTATTTTTTTCTATATTTTAGTTACATCTGAAGAAAGCTTCAGTGCATAAAAATTATACCAAGGTATATGGTTATAAAAATCCAATTGACAGGTGTAAGAATTATTTTAACCCAAAAACATAAGTTAGTAAGTGAAAGCCCATGGTTGAAAAACAAGCAAGTTTTTTTATTCTATTTTAGGTGTGCATGACAACCATTCTGTTCTTTAGCACTGTTTCTGAAAAGAAACAATATTTTTCTATTTCTGTGCCTTGGAACAGTTTCTAAGAAAAAAATGTGTTTGACAACATGTTCTATTTTTATTTTGAGAATGAGAATTGTGTTTTATAACATAACAAATAATATAATAAAAAATAATTCCTATTAAACATAAAAAAAAAATTTGATCATCATTTTCCTTTCCATATGATGTGGTGGTGGCGGCGGTGGCAGTGGCGTGGTGATAGTAGTGGTGGTGGTGATGGTAGTGGTGGTGACAGCAGTAGCTGCAGCGACGGTGGTGATGGCAGCGACGGTGGTAGTGGTGGCAATGGTGGTGATGGTGACGACAGTGGCTGTGACGGTGGTTAGTGGCGATGGTATAGCAGTGGTGGTAGTGGTGGCGATGATGGTAGTAGCGGTGGAGTGGTGATGGCGATGGTGACGGTGGTGACAGCGATGGTGGCATAGTGATAGTGGTAGTGATCGTAGTGATGGTGGCGATGGGTGGAGGTGGTGGTGATGGTTGCGGTGGCGACAACGTCATTGGTGGAACGACAGCGACGACGATGATGGTGGCAGTAGTCGTGTTGGGATGATGGTGGTGGTGGTGATAATTGTGGTGATGGATAGTGATTAAGAGAGACAAGTATTTCTTATTTTGTGCCCAGAAACAAAAAATTAAACAAATTTTATTATTATTTTTTATGTTCCCCAGCACAAAAATTAAACCGGTTCATCTCGGGAACAAAAAAAAAATAAACTGATTTTACCAAACGAGTTTTCTATCCATTTCTATTCATGAAAACAGAAATTAAAAAAAAAAAAGTTGATTCCTCAGAGGTTGTCATGCACACCCTTTGTGTTAACTTATGACCCTGACCACCTTGGCTCTTAATACCATAATAAACAATCATATCACCCAATAACTCAAGCTAATAAATGAAGGCTCATTAATTTTGTTTTATATTTCACGGGGCTGAAACTTGGTTAGTATTTTGAAGATTCCGATTGCTTTATAATCAAACCTAACCAAAATTTGATATATTTTTAATATTATTTTTTTTCTCTAATAACTATTTTTAGAACTACAATAAGATCGAAATGGTAAATAAAATTCTTTGTAGGGAGCTAGCTTCGGCATATGTAGTTCGACTCGTTTCAAATAGTTAAAAAAAAAAAACCTTTTAGGGGTGTTTGTGGGGTGTGGGAGCGCATTTTTTAGTACATCCATGGCATGGAGCTGAGTACGATTTTTGAATTTTATATTATGTACTATTAGTAATATATAATGTAAAATGAAAAAATCATTTTTCTTCTTCTCTCTAGTACACTAACAACTGAGGTGGTATATATATATATATATGTTAGGTTTGTTTTTTCTGATGTTACTTTAGATAACTTTATCTAATGTTCATCAAAACGACGTCGTTTTGGGACGGAAATCATATTATTTTTATAATTTTAATTTATTTCAGGGTTATAAAGTCTTTATCACTCTAATTTTTTAATTTTTTAACCCCAAAACGACAGTGTTTCGATGAATATTACATAAAGTTATCTAAAGTAACATCAGAAACATTTTTCCCATATATATATATATATATATATATATATATATATATATATATATATATTTTGTTGAGATGTATTCGTTAAATAATATTTGTTTTTTCATTTTAAATATCTGCGGCTCAATATAATTAGAAAACGATTAAATATAAAAAAAATCTTCATTTGAATTATTTACTTTTGATTAAAATATTCAAAAAAAGTATTCAAAAGATCATTACTTTATTAATATTTTTTCTTATTCTGCTTAATAAAAATATCAGTCGACAAAAGATAGAAAAAGAAATTTAATGCTTCTCTAATTTTTTTCATATAATTAGATCAAAAGTAAATAAAATTTTAGATTACAGTATAAAACTTCTGTTCACCTAGATTTTGTGACAGACTATATATTAGTAAATCTTATTTAGTACAGTGTCTTGTGTTAGAAATATTCAGGTGTGAGCATAAATGAAGTCTCACATCGGTTAAACATGAACTAAGTGAGGATGATCATATAAGTGCGAAAGACCTATAGATCAACAACTTTAAGGTTTTAGATTGATATGTAGTGTCGGCTCAGTTATTGTGTTTGTCATTTTCTCCATTGATGAAAGAATCTTCAGAAAGGGTTTTGAGCTCTCCCATACCATTTCTAGCTCTGGTATTAGAGCTAACGGTTTGGTTGAGCTGAGTATATGGAGATGGTGATGCACTTAAAGAGACCTCCGCAGAAGGCCTAGTGTGACACAAATATTCGAAGAGAAAAGTTACCCTTAGGGAGGAGCATGATGTTGGGTCTTACATTAATTGAGGGGATGTTAGAAACATTCAAATGTGAGTAGAAAGGAAGTTTCACATCGATTAAACATGAACCAGGTGAAGACCATCTAAGCACGAAAGACCATATTTCTACGGCTATAAAGCTTTGGGTTGAGATGTGGTGTCGACCCAGTTATTATTATCACGATCGATTGGTGAAAGAATTTTTGCAAAATATTTTGGGCTCCCTACCATTCCTAACATCTTGGACTTTTCTCTATTTTTATCTCCCATTTGGATTAAAATTAAAGTTTTAATTATATGTAGGGATAGGTTATTCTACTATTCTTATTCTGCCTACCTCTTTTAACACTGTTAGATTACAATCTCATCTAACGATGAATATCTGCGGTATAAAATAAACTCTCTTTTTTCCTTTCTTTCTCCTTATTTTCTCCTACACCCTTTCACTCTAAATCTCTTTCTCCAAAACGAAAAAACGCATATTCAATCAAAGAAAAAATGAAAAACACATACCATTGATGACTATCACTTGAAAAAAATGAGACTGTTTTCCCATCCCATATTCGTAGAATTCCTTTTCAAATAAAAAACAAATATCTTAATACTATGCAAATAAATGTCTATGATCCTGATTTCTATGATTTTTACAAGGATGAAAGATCTTTTCGTGAAAATCAATTATGGGCTGTGTATGATTTTTCAGAGGAATTCCTAATTGGGTAATTTTATTTTTCTCTTACAATATAAATCGCAAGCACAGAGAGAAAGGAGAAGAGAGAGAAAGGGTGTGGGAGGAAGTGAGAAGAAAGAAAGAAGAAAAAATATTTATTTTATTCTGCAAATATCTACCGTTGAATGAGATTATAATCTAACGATATTTAAAGAGTAGACAAAAATAGACAGAATAATAGTAGGTAAAATAATCTATTCCTTATATGTATTATCTAAAGAATCTTCTCATTCCCCTTATATTATGTTTTCATGTTAAACTAGTTTTCTTCATGGAGGAAACAAATACCTGACGCATATCCAAACCGAAGCAAGTTTTCATAAACGAAAATCCTTTTTTTAATTCCCCTTTTCCCTTATTTAATTCTTTACACACGTGCTGAGCTCAAGAAATGACAAGCAAGCACGCAAGCAATTTGCATTTGACCATGATCCCATTATTTATTTATTCATTTATTTATAGTCTTCTAAGTTGTTGAAGTTCGAAATAGACTTTTCCTCCTTTTCCTCCTATAAATACCGAATATTCTCTTATATTTTTCCATGCACTCGTTTGCAAAGTTAGCACAATCAACATCCTTTGCTTACTCAAACTAGAGTGACCTTACATTACACCTTAATTCAGGGAAAAAATTTCAAACATGGGTTTAGGAAATAATAGCTATCAGCTTCTGTCAAAGATTGCAACCAATGATAAACATGGAGAGAATTCTGCATATTTTGATGGGTGGAAAGCATATGATAGAAACCCATTTCACCCTACAAAAAATCCTCAGGGTGTTATCCAAATGGGTCTTGCTGAAAATCAGGTATATTAAGAATGTCAAATTTGCAAATATTGTTGTTCTTTTTATACGGTTTAAGCAACAATGAGATGCAGTTTTTTGATAAATTGTTCGTTTTTTTTTCAGCTCTGCTTTGATCTGATTGAAGAGTGGATAAGGAATAATCCCAAGGCTTCTATTTGCACTCCTGATGGAGTGCATCAGTTCAGAGATATTGCTAACTTTCAAGACTATCATGGGTTGCCAGAGTTCAGAAGTGTATGCAATTAACAATAAAACTTAAATTAATTCATTATTATAAGGATTGAGCATGTTGTATTGATAATAAAAAAATGGTTTTTTTTATTTCTTTTTTTTCAGGCAATGGCAAATTTTATGTCGAAAGTGAGAGGTGGTAGGGTCAGATTTGATCCAGACCGTATATTGATGAGTGGAGGGGCTACAGGGGCAAATGAACTAATCATGTTCTGTTTGGCTGATCCTGGTGATGCTTTTCTGGTTCCTACACCTTATTATCCTGGGTATGTATCTTCTCTTTCATAATATATGTGTTCATTCGATGTATGTCACTGTTTCACTCACCCATCAAATGTTAAAGGGGTTTATTTTTCTCATGTTGCATGAGAAAATAAATCCTTCCTACAAACACCATAAAAAGGTGTGCCACTCATTTTTTTATTTTTATTTTTTTTAAATAGATGGGTTCCACACTTGCTGTATCTATGACATGAGATTAGAATTCTCCTTCAGCATAAGATTTATTTTTCCCAACGTTAAAAGTGGAAAATGAAAAAGCACGCATGTATAAAGTGTTATAACTATTTTTGTTTGTTTTGGTTAAAGGGGGAACTCCAATGTCTTAATTAACATGCTATTTTTGAAAAAAAATTATTCAAAATTGAAGTCTAAACAATTGAATCTAGAGATATATGGCTTCCCTTTGCCATGCTGCCATAATTTTCTAGTTTAGAGTATATATTAAGAAAAAATGAGTATTTTATCTACCAAAAAAAAGACCAATAAATCCAGCATATAAAACCACTATAAAAAGTAATTTGTATATGGAAAATATTTTTCTTTTTTAACATAAGAGAAGAATTGTTTCCTACTGAGACAAAAAAGTGGAGCCAGCACTTAGAAAAAAATAAAATAAAAAAATAAAAACTTGGCACGAAATTCGATCTGTGTATAAGATTCAAATTTTCTCTTATGTGTAGGAATCAATTAGAAAAGCATTTTCATTAGTATATATATGTAAACACAATCCCAACCATTAAAATAATCTCATTTGTTATAAAATATATGTGACGTGGCACTGAAGAATTTTGGTTGCAGACACCAAATTAATAGGATGAAGCTTGTGTGTTCATTTCAATCAAACTGGTGCATGTGCAACTAATTAAAAGATAAATAATAATTGACTTTAAAACTGTGTTCTTAGTTTTGATAATAATGAATTGATGTTTTTTCTTCGGAGTAAATTATGAAGCTTTGGTTCAAAGTTCCCTTTCCCCAGCTACGTGAGGTGTCAATCCTACAATTCCCCATTTAAGGTAGTGGCACTAAGATCCATGAGTATGAAAACAAAAATTCAAACATGACTCAGTATTAGGTCAAGCTGAAATAAAAATTACACCTGAAATATACCCAAAATAATAATAATAAAGCCTTCTACAGTGTGATTAGTCAACAAGCATGTAATTTAAGTCTAAATCCAAATTAGACACTTCATAACTCAAAGTTAAGTGGACCATAACCATTGACATCTGAAAAATGACAACATGAACGCCTCATTTTATTAGTTCTTTCTTTTTTAATCTGCGTGTCATTTCTTTTTAAAAAAAATTGCCTTGGTAATAAACATACTAACTTTTTTTTTCATTGAGTTAATTTGTCTAAAAATTTGTATATTTCATTGAAAAAAACTATTAGTTATTCTTTTAAGACCCTAGCTTATAGCTTTAATTTACTTTTCCAACCCACTTCATGCATGGACCACAATATATATTGTATTCAATACTGAATTGGTCAAAGGAGAGACTTATTAAGTGATTAATTAGGTTCTTATCATGACTTGATTAAAAAATGGAAAAATTAATCTACATGTCTCGTCCATGATTCATCATGTGTACGTGTGTGGTGATACAAAATATTTCATATTTTATTGCAGATTCGTCCGAGACTTGTGTTGGAGAACTGGGGTGCAACTGATTCCTGTGCACTGTGATAGCTCCAACAATTTCAAGATAACAAGAGAAGCCCTTGAAGAAGCTTACAAGAAAGCACAAGAGGATAACATCAATGTGAAAGGGTTGATCATAACAAACCCATCAAACCCTTTAGGCACTACCTTAGACAGAGAGACATTGAAGAGCCTTGTGAGTTTCATCAATGAGAATAACATCCATTTAGTTTGTGATGAAATCTATGCAGCCACTGTATTCAGCTCACCAGAATATGTGAGTGTTTCTGAGGTCATTCAAGACATGGAGTTTTGCAAAACAGAACTCATTCACATCATTTCTAGCTTGTCTAAGGACATGGGGTTCCCTGGTTTTAGAGTTGGGATAGTTTATTCATACAATGATACAGTTGTGAATTGTGGAAGGAAAATGTCAAGCTTTGGATTAGTCTCTTCTCAGACTCAACATATGTTAGCTTCAATGCTTTCAGATGAAAATTTTGTAGCAAATTATCTTGAGGAGAGTTCAACAAGGTTGGCAAAAAGGCATAACAAGTTCACAAAGGGACTTGAAGAGGTTAACATTAGTCGCTTCCCAAGCAATGCGGGGCTTTTTTGCTGGATGAATTTGAAAAGCTTGTTAGAGGAACAAACATTTGAAGCTGAATTGAAGCTTTGGCGTGTGATTATCAATGAGGTGAAGCTCAATGTGTCACCAGGGTCATCTTTCAATTGCTCTGAGCCTGGTTGGTACAGGGTTTGTTTTGCTAACATAGATGATGGAACAGTGGATGTTGCACTCAACAGAATAAGAGTATTTGTAGGGAAAGAAAGGAAGGAACCAGTGCAAGTCAAACGTTGGCAACAGAATCTAAGGCTCAGTTTCTCTTCAAGGAGGTTTGATGAATCTGTTATGTCACCTCACATGATGTCTCCTCGTTCACCAATTCCTCCCTCACCACTTGTTCGAGCCACTTGAGGAAGAGCTTGTCTTACTTTCAAGAAAATAATAATGTCTGAGTGTAGAGCTATTAATCGTTTTGTTTTTCTTCCTATTTTCGGTTTCCAACCATATATGAAGTGTTTTAGAGGGTACTTAAGATATTTTGCTGTAGGTTGTCCTGTTTACAATCAGCTAACTGTGAAGTTGGGTATAGCTGAAATTATTTATGCAATTGAATTGATATATGATTAGAAAAAATTTGGTTAAAGTTAAGCTATTTTGTATTGAAAAAATTAATTACATGAGGTTACATTTTCTGGGTTTGTGTATATGGAAGAAGCTACTTCGTTTTGATAATGACAATTAATAATCTCGCCAGTACTTAAACCAAGATGGAAAATGTAGTAAAAGTTTATAATGTAATAATCTATCTCCGATTCTATGATTTGTATAATAAGAGTTTTATTAATGTGTGTCTTCAATATGGTCCATGTTAAATAACTAAATATTATTAAATTTTAAAAAGCATGTACTATTTTTTTAATAATTACTAAAAAATAATATATTGTTTTTATTTTTTGGGCACGTGTTAACAAAATAAGTAGTAATAATAATGAGAATAGTTATAAAATTGAAGATTGGTTGAGTGATAGAAAAGTTGCCAGTTTTACGCGACATCATGCTGCATATCAGCATATGCGTGGCTCGATTAGCTCCATGGAGCGTGACAAGGAACACATCTATGCGATTCGGTTCATGCCAAGTTGCTTGATATTCTATGGAAAATTCCAAGTCATTATTTTGTTCCTTAGCAGTATTATATGATGTAAAAGGACAAGTTTCTTAGTTTATTAATCAATGTGCTTATCTACTCATCCAATCCATTAATGTTCTCATTGTCAAAAATATTAAAGTATAATTTTCAAGTTTCTATTGAAAACGATTATACTTCGAAAGTAAAAAGCATTTATATACGTACGCTTGTTTTGTTTTTGAAGTCATTATACTGTTCAAAAAAAGCATTTCTATTGAAAATATTTATTTTCAAGTCATTACTTTTAAAAAATAAATGCTTGTTTTTAAAAATAATATAATTCAATCGCGCTCCTATATAACAAAAACTTTGTCTTGTTCTTGATTAAGGTTTATATATCTTGATCTTGAAAGTAACAATTTTGTACTTTTTGTTGCAATTGGGATTCTTGGTTGGACTACGTGATTGCATGGGGTACTCAAATTTCTCTGGTGACCGTTGTTTTCAAATCCTTTTTTGAAATGAAAGGCTTATTACCTTTCAGTTCAGTTATTTTTCCACCGCCAGAAGGGAACACAGTGACCCACACACCATTGACATCTATATTTTTGTGTTTCCATCGAATTACATATCCAAATTCATTTCTTACACTTCGCAATTTGATAATCCATAATTGGTTTTGGGGTTTTAAATTGTGAACTGCATCACCTGTGATATAGACGTACGTAACATGTTAGATTCTAATTAGTTGCATTGGTGCCACATTAATCCGCAATGTAACTGTGACCACAACCACAATTTAAAACACTGATTGGAACATATATACATAGTGGCAAACAAAATCTAAATCAAACTATTATGATATGTTGGGAATTGACTTGTTTGAGATTTTTTCTTGTCGTTAGGCACATGCTTATTCATCTTCTGTTCCTTGACATTGATACCTTATATTAATTAGGACATGCACAAAGTAAATTGCAGCTACATTGACATTGTTCCTAGGTGTATCTAATGGGGATATTATGACATGGTATGCTTCGATTAGGGTGCCCGTAATAGTGTCAAGAATAGATCTTCTCACGTGGAAATTTTATTTAATCTGATCATGTATAAATTTTATATTTATTTCTTTCCCTTGACAAATATTATGTCATAAATACAAAAATTTTGCATGATCTATTATAAAATAATATAAATCATTAAAAAATTTCTCACTCAAAATCTTAAGGTATTAGATAAGATGTTGGATTGAGACATTTTTAATGGTTTATATTATTTTCTAACACAATGTTAATATATATATTTTTTTGGCAGACCGCATGATCCTTAATTAAGTACTATGTTTGAGTGCATGCTTTCTACGTAAAAATTGCACATTGATTTAATTGGTGATAAATAATCTCTTGATTTACTTCATATTCTGGCGTTTGGGGAATTTTATAATTTTGTTATACATATATTGAGTTTGAGTCTAACATTTATTTTTTCAAAGTTGATCTAAATTCCATTTTAATTAGTCGCATCAAAAAGTAGAAAATTTCAATTCTTCACATTCGCCATGTAGAAATTCCATCCTTAAGGATAAGAATCCTACGTGTTTTTTTCTTTTCTTTTCTTTTTGTGTGTTTTTATTCTTGATTGAGTGGATACGGAAGTTAGTTGCATTTATATCTTGCACGTATATTCAACAGTGACAACCTGCTTTACCCAAAAAAAAATCCCTACAAAACATAAATTCAATTTGAAGCAGAAAACTATAAGAAATAATCCCTCACACTTTTTATTTTTTTTGTTAGTATTGTTCTTTGGTTAGAAATAATTCATTAATTCCATACTTTCAATTTGAAGCATAAAACTATTAGAAATAATCCCTCAAGCTTTCTTTTTCTTTTATTTTTATTTTTCAGATTCCGTTTATTTAATTAATTAATTTATTGTTAGGATTATTTAATTGTTTTTATCGTTTTGAACTTTGCTTCATGCCCCTCTATCTCTCAACCTCAAGAAGCTTCTGATATTAGTTTGTGAATTTGGTCTTAGACCTTGTACTTAGAATATTGGAACTTGAAATGATTATGCTGACGAAGAAAAATCAACCACTCACCGACCAAATGATCTAGTTAATGCTTGGTATCATCATCAGTGACTTAATTGATTAAAAAAATGTCATCGATCAACAGTTATAAACTTTTTAAGGGTGATGAAATAGGAAAACGTATGCATTTGCTAAATCTGTTCTTCTAGTCCTCAGCTTTTATTTATTTATTTTTTATCATGTGGCTTCTATTCTCTTTCATCGTTCTTTTAAAATAAAAAGTAATAAAGAAATCTGGTTCCACCAAAAACAAACCATATGTCACAACGTGTCGAAAAGACATCATCACAACAAGCGACTAAAATTATTAAAAAAATAAATAGAATCATCAATAATTTTATTTAAATAAAGAAAATTTTAAAAATATTTAAAATTTTATTTTCAAAAAATAAGATGAGGTTTGAAAATTTAATTATGCATAGAAAAAGATATTGTACCTTCAATATATTTATAAAATGATTGTCTTAAGTTAATTATCAAAATTACTAATAAATTTAAAAATATTTATTTTATTAGAAAATTAGATGAAAACAGAAAATAAAATAAAATGAATAATAACAAGTATTTACAAAGAAAAGTAAATTGTTAAAATTTAATTTTAGATTGATAGTAGAACTAGGGGTGTAAATGGGCTAAGTCGGACTACAGGGACCTACGGCTGAGCCTGACCTGATTCAGGCTCAGCCTATTAAATATAGTCAAATAGAGCAGGCCTAAACTTTTACAAAAGCATATTTAGAAAATAGGTCATAGGTTTTTTTATATATTGGGCCTATAAGCTTGCAAGCCAGCCTATTTCATATTATTTATTTTTAAAAAATAAATAAAATTGTTTTTTTAATAATTTTGAATAATAAAGTAATATTATTTTAATTATTTTTTTTAATATTCAATGTTTAATAAGCTTAGGTCAAGGCTTTTATTTTTTAAATATAGATCAGATCAGACTTTTAATTTAGGCCTATATAAAGCTAACAAGTCCGGCTAGACCTACAATATTTTACACAATCCTAGGCTATTTAAGTCAAAGTCCAGCCTAATCTAGCCTATTTACCTCCTTAAGTAGAACTCTCGCTCTTATGTATGAAAAACTCAAACTACATCATTTATTTTTTTTATTTTTTTTATTTTTTGATAACAACTACATCATTTTTTTACAACATACTTGTCTGTTTATTGATTTAAATTTTGAAATTTTTTCTAAATATATAATTTTATTTTGAAAAATTCATCAGATTAAATTCAGACTCTTCAAATCATTAAATTATGCAGCTTAAATGACCCCAAAAAAAATTCCTAAATTAACAAGCACAATTTCCACTACCCCTTTGGTTAAAGTTAGTTAATTTTGGATACCAAAAAAAAATTAGTTAATTTTTATCAATTTTTATTTTTTAAATTAGTGCAAGATCAACAAACGAAAAACCCTTTTATTTTAAAATTAGTGCAAAATTATAATAAAATTTCAAGTCGCCAAGCTGTCACAATTTAAATATCCTTCATAAATGTCACAAAATTAACAAATCATTGCAGCTCAGCCAGCCCTTCCTTTATAAAAGGTTCGAAACTAAAAATTGATATTTACCAAAGATAAAAATTTTGTTTGAAATTTAAATATTCTTTTATTTTCAAGAAATTATTAGGCTAAGAAGCTGTGTGACAGCTTAACCAATCTTTCAAAAATAGAAAACTAACGAATCCTAACAACTCGGTTAACTCCTTTTAATTAAAGAAAAAAAAATTATTAACACTTATTTTGTAAATAAGCACAAGGCCACCATATAAAAAGATGGAATCATTCTACAAAAAAATATAAACAAAAAATGGATCAAATGATGCAAGAAGTGAAAAAAATTATACAAAAAAATAATGAGATAAAATAAAAAAACTCAAACTAATCTAACAAAAATTTAAAACCCTTTTTTATTTCATTTTAGGACTTAGACATTTTTTTTACATTTTTATTTTTTCACTAGCCTAATCTTTTTTTTTCATTTTAAACATGTATTTGAAATTTTCCTTTACCATGAAAAAAAATAAGCCAATTAAAAAGAACAAACCAAAATAAATTAACTTTACTCTAAAAACAAAATAAAATTAAAATTAGCCACAAACATAGACCTATCAAGAAATTAGGGGTGTTTATCAACCGATTCAAACAGCAGTGACCGAACCGAAAAATCGAAAACCGAATAAACCAAAAATCGAAAAACTGAAAATCGAAAAAAAAATTCATAAACTTTAATCGGATTTGATCTATTTTTGGTTTGGTTGATGAAAATTGATCCAATATATTAACTCCCCTCTACCTACTTGGGTCTTTCCCCAATCATAATCAACAAAATTCTAAACCCAAGACTCATTAACCCATCAACTAAACTCAAGAAAAAACCTAGCCACATCTCATCAGCAAAATTTCATCTGTGTAGAACTTCATATCTCATTGCCAAAAAAAAATTATACTATTGTTTACTGATACTTCTATATTAAAAAAAAAAAACTTTACAAAGTCAATATATATTTAAGATATGTTATTTGCACTGAAACAAATTTTAGGCTTTTCAAAAAATCGAAAATCGATCCAATCCAAATCGAACAAATCGGATCGAGTTTGAAAAAAAATCTAAACCAAATGGATGATTACATGATTAAACTGAAGGGATTGGATCGGATAATTTTTGCTTCTAAAACCGATCCAATCCAGACCGCGAACACCCCTACAACTTACCATTCTTCTCCTAAACTAAGTCCAAAGAAACGAAGTCCTAGAACGTGGGCTGGAAACTTCCTACAAGCCCAAAGAAAGAAAGAAACACCCCCTTCTTTTACCCAAACAAACTGGGCTGTAAAAGTGAGCCCACTTCATGTATCAGGTCTTGGATAAAAGAAAAAACACTTCAATACATGTATAAAAAAATTGATGACAACAAAGAAGGGTTATTGGTCAAAATGCTTTTTCTTATACCGAAGCATGTGTAGCATAGACATTGTAAATGCTACACATTAATATAAAAACTGAATATGTACAGAATCATTATAAGTATAATAATAAATTATCACATGCATTTGTGCTATATTTTACACGTGCAAATTGGGAGAGACTACATGTGGATTGAGCAAAAGAAAAGCTAGGTTGAACTGCCACATAAATAAAGGTATTAAGGTTAACTGCTCTGCCTTATGTGATGAAGAAGAAACAAAGAAGTTATAGAGAATAAGGTGAGGGAATCACTTTAATTGTACACCACTAAATAATGTATTAGAAAATGATTAAAAATCTGATACATGGGTATATCAACACGTCTTCAAAATAATAAAACAAACCATATGTACCCAAAAAACAAACAACCAAACAAACCATATTCTTCGTGGAAAAAAACTCCCATTATTAAGCTAATTTATGAGATGGTGAGAAGGTCAATAGCTCATGATCACCATAAGAAAAAGAATGATGATGGTAACCATGACCAGCCAATAATGCTCTTGGGATCATGAAGCTTCAATCATACACCATACTATAGACGAACCTATGGGACCAAATCTCATGATTTGCATGGGTTTTCACTCCATATTTATAATACAAAATGCAGAGAAAGACAAAGCTCTGAAAAGAAAATTTCAACCTCATATGATGGGTTACTATACTTTTCAGCCAGCTAGTCCCACAACTTGAAGGACATGACAATGCTACACATAAAAATAAAAATAAAAGAGAGAGAAAATTCTTTTATGGATAAATAAAAATTAGAGGGCAAGCTTGAAGTAGTAATAAAATTGTTTTTTTTGTAATGGGAAGGTCAAGGATTTAAATATTGAAAACAATTTTTTTTGAAAAAATCCAAGGATAAAACTCCATATAATCGCAAGTCAGGAACCTTGTGCATCAAGATTTGTCCTTTTTTATAAATAAAAATCAGTTTTAGCTTTTCATTTCTTGCAAATAAATTTTTTGAATCAAACAGATTACTTATTCTAGTAGTTGATACATACATTCAGATAACAACTATTACAGGAACAAGAGTGTAAAACTACATTTGTGTCCAAAACAATTTCCCCAAAATTTTATTCCTTCTCCCTACACATCAATAACAGTCTCAACCAGGCATGACCATATTATATACAAGGAGCTATTATTTTCTTGGCTGTGGCATAATATGAGAGTGAAAGAGAATTGAATCCATTACCATGTTGAGCAAAGTTTGTTTTTCCCTATTGTTTGGACACTTGCTATTTAACAAATGACACAAGCATTGGGATTCTCTTCCATGCTTTGAACATAGTAATGTGTGGTCATGTGAGGATTATAAGCCCTATAAGCCTTAACAAGCTCCAAAACAGGATCTGGGGCTGGCTCTTTCTTCTTCTCCTCATCCTTCTTCCCTTCCTTCTTCTCTTCTTTCTTTGCTTCTTCCTTCTTACCCTCTTCCTTCTTTTGCTCCTCTTTCTTTTCTCCCTCCTCTTTGGCTTCTTTCTTAGGCTCCTCTTTCTTCTCAGGCTCCTTGGCTGGTCCTACTGCTACTATATCTGTCTGCCAGTATTTGCGCAATTTGCTCACCACATTTACTGGATCTACTGTTCCTATCACTGTTAACTTCTTCTCTTTCATATCCATGGAGATTGCATCAATCCCTAATAGGTTGTAGAAGTTGATTAATATGAGTTCTTTGCTTTTAAAAAAACAACATTTGAAAAGAGAAATCCTTAAGGATAAGAAATATGTTTCTTTATCTGAATATCGCTTTAAGTGTAAAGGTGGGCCAATCACAACCAACTTATCAAACAAAAACTATCTTGATAAGCATTTTACTTGAAGAAGAGTTTATTAAATGCCAACGAGATTAGGTATGAATTATAATATAAATTATTTGATGCAACACACATATAAGAAGATCAATGCAACAAATCATACCCTCTTACAAATACCAAAAGCCAATGCAATTTTTTTCAATATAACCATTGGAGAATTTGTTGACATGCTAATACCTTGAGGGAGCTTAGTAGATCATTTTCAACTACAGAAAAGAAAAATACTTATTAGGTGATATCAAATTATTTAGCCTAGTGTTGCTTATTAAGAATGCCTTGTCCTCAAGGGGAGAAAATTGGACCTATCATCTTGGGAGTTAGAAGGTGAGATATAAGCGAAAGGGATAAGGTACTCCATTTGTAGCTTCCAATTGACCCGAAAAAGTATCATTCTATTATAAAACACCCCAAACATTAAGTTTTTATACTTAAAATAACTAAATTACATGAAAGTATATTAATTATTCTTGGTTATCTAACACTCCCTCGATTTGAGCATTCAAAAAAGAGAAATTTAGATATTAAAGTATATTAGACAAAAATATGAAGACACCAGTGTACCAGATGTGCAGGTCTCTACTACTGTCCTTTTGACTTCCTCTAATACATATTTCAAGATAATAGAAAGCCATATTAAAAAAGTTTAGTGGAGGAACAACCCAAAGTGAATAACAGAACAATGATTTGGTACCTGAAAGAGTTGAGACTGTTTTCAGGGCCTTCTGCTTGTCCTTGTCATCATGCAAATCTAACTTGAGTACAAACTTCTGTAAGCAAAAATCATGAAATGATTTAACCCGGATTTGAATAACCCCCAGGTAACCTTTATCTGTGAAAGAATATTTACAGAACAACATACAATTTCTAAACCAACCAAATTGAAACAAAAAAAGTGACACTTGAAACCAAAACTTCTCTTGCACATATTGAAAAAGATGAAATCTTAACCATCCAACATGTAGACCCAAATGTTCGAATCAATTCAAAAACCAGAATTCTGATGAGGGGAACATCAAAATTCATTTCAGACCACCCCAGATCTTTAAATAAGGAGGGGAAAGGGGGGGAAACAGAGGATATGAAAAACAAGGAGAAAAAAATAAAGTTAAATCCTAAAGCTCATGAAGAATCAACAATGAATCAAAGTATCCATTGTTAGAAAGGAATAATGAAAGAAAAAACAACAAAGAAAGAAAAAAAAAACCAAAATTGGAAAGTGGGAATTATACCTTCATTTCTTTGTATGTTAAGCAATTATGTGTAGATCGAAAGAAGAGATACGAGAAATTGTTTTAGAGAATGAGAAAAGAGGCTTAGCTGTCAAATAATTCTCTGTTGGAAGAGATAGACAAAAAGGCCTAGGGAATGTGAAAAGGAAACCATAGTAGTAGTATTTATATGAACATTATATATATATATTGAATATGTGTAAAAATGTTGGCGTGTTGTAGGCCATCAGAATAAGCATAATTTTCAGGGTATTGGCAGGTGAGATTTTGACTGGCTGGTTAGGGCTGCTACCTAGGCTATCACTGTACCGTATAAAAGGTTGAAGAAAGGGTTAACTGGGATTGTTTGGTTGAGGAGAAATTTTTTGAATACTAGGAAAATGTAATTACCAGAGAAATAGTTGAAAAATAAGTTTGGTAGGAAAATGTAAAAAAAGTTGTTTGGTTGACCGAAATATTACCAGGGAAATTTATTTAAATTTGCAAAATCTATGTTCGGGAGAAACTTCGCACCTGTTTTTTCACTTCCCCAGTTATTTCAAAATACCACATCTCAAGTGGTATTCTGTAACAGTGAATTTCATCTAAAAATCAACACAAAAGTCATTTCTCCATCTATCTCATTTGCCTAGTATTTTTTTGAAAAAACCTGAACCAAACGTGGTATTCTTCAATATCCACTTACACTTTCCCATCAATCCTAAAATAATCTTTCAACCAAACACTACCTAATAACCCTTCCATGGAAAGGATATACATACCACCAAAAAAAATTTACGACATTTACAACTAACGTAATCATCGTTGATTTATGTTAATCTAACACTTATGATATATTGAGAATAATAATTAGATAATAAATGCGGTCTAGTAATTTTCAATAAATCATAACCGCTAGATTGACAAAAATCAACGGTAATTAGATTAGTTGTAAAGGTGATAAATTTGTTTGGTGATAAATATATCTTTTTCCTTAAATTAATTGCTTAAAATAAGTTTTACTTTATAAGTACTTATAATAAATGTTGGAATGATTATATGTATCCAGACACATTTGGAACAAAATACAGTAGCAAAATTCTATGACTTAGCCATTTTTTGCTTTCTTGTTTATGGTATTTGTGAGGCTTATTTTTAATTAAGAGTTAGATGGGGTCCAGACATGAACATTCCAACTTGAATAACGCTGTCCTAATAAATATGAGAACGAAATCCTCAACTACTCATCTTGCATTGGAGAATATTAGTTGAAGGCCTTTTGGATATTGGAAGAGTTATTTTTTTAAAAAAATCTTTTACGGAAGAAAAGGATGTAAAAGGAAAATATCAATATAAATTTTAAAAGGATGAATACATGTTTGAGAGTAAATTATTTTGAGAAAGAATCACTTTTTAAAAGGTTTTTCATAAGTTTTTGGTTGAAAACTTTTGACCTTAATCTAAATATGTTAAAAGATGATCATTTAAGAACATCTTTTATGATTTCATCATCGAAGTTTTAGCTAATTAGTCAATTAGTATTTTTTTTTTTTTAGTGCATTGATTTTTTGAATAGTTATTTATTTATTTTCATTTAATGCACAGTCAAAATAAAACTTTATGTATATTCAATAAAGCGGCGTATAGACTGACTTAACAAATAAATTACAGATTAAGTAATTATATATTTGGTATTATGTGACAATTAGTCTTTTTATAACTATTGTATATTTAGAAAATGAAAGTTAACTTAGCTCTTAAAATATTTTACTAAGGGAATGTAAGTGGATTGAATCTGTCTTTACCTCCTTGGAGTAAAGTGGCCCGTCCCCAAGTACAGGATATATGTGTGGCTGTATGATTGTATTGGTATTTGGTAAACATGTGTGAGACAATTTTTGATTGAATTTTTTATTTAAAAAAAAAACTATTGTATTATTGCTTGATTGCTGATTATGTATATTTTAGTTCTGCCTCTAATTATTCTGAGATTTGTATATTTGAATTTGGATCATCTATTCACATGATCCAACTTTCAAGCAAAAGAGAAGAGTTAAACACAGATTATAATAATGTCAACATATTTGTTTTGGTACATAACGTTAACATGTCAACTATATATATCTTAACCACTTTTTAGGGAAAACTTACAATACATTAAACAAAACACTTTAAGTAACTCGAGATAGTTTCCAATTCATACTAAGATTATATTATGTGCCTTCTCATGTTCAATTGTGTGCAATTTGTTTCCTGTCCCCCCCCCCCCCCCCCCCCCCCCCCCCCCCCCCCCCCCCCCCCCAACCCACTTTTTCACATGAAAGAACTATTTTTTAAGTTGGTTATATTGGTTAAAAATCCATATATATAGATGTCTCACTTCAACTATAAGGAGAAACATGAAAAGCTGAAGAAGTGTACAAAGCAAGCTTTGGCACTAACATGCTATATTATTCAAGATAAATGCACAACTACTACACGGATCTAAAATTCCTCGAAATTAAAGTTTTAAAGGAAAAAAGAAAAAGAAAACTAAATTATAAATAAGAAAGACCAAGCAAACAAGGAGCAAAAAAAAAAAAAAAATCCAAACCATGAGATTTGAATACGACGTTAAGCAAAAAGCAAGTAGTGATAAGAATAAGCACGACTAAGAAGAAAAAAAATTGAAAAAAAAAAAAACAACTAAAAAATCAAGCTATATATGTCAACAAAGGCAACGCAAGCTAGCGACAATGGCTAACACTCTAAAAACGTCAATGCTATATGAAGAAAACGGAAGCAAAAAGAAGAAGTTGGAGCACGCAGAAATTCTTCAAGGGCGACTTCAAATTAAATTTTAAAATATTGCAGGGATATTTTTATCCAAAAAATCTATAATATGCTTTCTTTTCTAGAGATTTCTCCACTTGTTCTTTAATTAATAGATTAATTCGGTTTGTTTACCAAAAAAAAAAAAAAAATTAATTCGGTCAGAATTGGACATAATCATAAAATTATATGTTTTATTATTTTATTTTATTTTATATAATAGTGATATTGAGATTCGAACCTATTACCTTATGCAGACTGCCCAAATTTCTCAGCATTAAACTAATTTCAGTGGCTTGATAATATGCATTATTTGTAGTTTGATTGTTACACTTTCTCTCATCTGTTTTTTTTTTTTTTTGAAACTATTAGTTATAGTTTCTTAAAATAATCTAAAATCTTCTTTTTTTTAGAAGAAGGTTATACTTACAACCTATTTTCTTTACAACCTATATCTTAACCGTTGATTTTCGTCAATAACGGTTAAGATTTTTGTAAATTAAATTTATTAATTAATTATTAAATCATAATAAATGATAACCGTAGATTGACAGAAATCAACGATTAAGATATATGGTTGTAAGAGGTTGCAAAGAAAATAGGTTGTAACTTGTAAGTATAACCTTTTCCTTTATTTAATTCTGATTTATTTCAAAAATTTACCCGAACAGTTTAAAATGTTTTAAAAGTAATTTTCTTATGATAAATTCTTAAGCAAACGCATTCAACTTGGAACATAAGAAACTCTTCTTAATTAGTTTAAGCGAAATATAGGTTGCTATAAAACTTAAATAGTAATTAAAATTAGGCTATTGATAAGTAATAAATAAATAAATAATTGTGGAGAAATAAATAATAATAATAATAATCAAGAGTTCATAATAATAATAAACAAAAACGATATTATATTACAACCAAAAAATAATAATAATAATAATAATAATCCAGGCCAGTAATAAGTAAAAATATAGGACATGTGTGGTTATATATTATATTTTTGTAGGATGTCTACTCACACAAGAGTTCATTAGAATTGAAGAATGGATAATGTATAGGTTTCTCCAACTCTAACTTGTGTTAAAAAATTTCATAATATTTAATTATTTATTAATAAAATAAAGGCATTGAAGATCAAATTTGTAATCACTTAATCACATATGATATAAAATCACTTGGAAAAAAGGATTTCCAATAAGGTGAGTGATAGCTCATAAAAGTATAGAGCTATTTATTGCATTTTACTATTAAAATCCCCTATTTGCTATTAAGTTGTATTGCTTTTTGCTAAATTTGTCTCCAGGAGCATTTTAATGATAAATTTGTCTCCAGATATGGTTTAAAGAAAAAAGCAAAAGGTTTAAACTTTATGTAATTGAATTCTTTTAGAATTTGATGATATTTGAATTTAATGTCAATAAGAATATAATTTATTTTATTTCCGAGCCAATATCACATTATACTAAATTGTTCATGTTTGTACTAAAAAAAAAAAAAAAAATTGCTCATGTTGTGAAGGTGCTAATAGACTTTGGGGTAAGTGCTACTTTTCCTAGAGTAGCACGAGGTCTTGTAGTATTGTTAATAGGTAGTTTTTTTTTTTTGGTTAGGTGTTGTACGTGTATATCAATTGTTAATTTCTTTGTTCCATTTTGAGGATGGGAATCATGGTGACATAAGATGAGATTCAATTGTTTGTCGGTTTGTTTGGTTATTTTAATACAGATTATAATAACTGTTATTTTTTTTAATATTACAAACTGTTATCACTGAAATTTTTTAAAGGTTAGTCTATATTATATACTTTTCTTAAAATATTTTTCCCCCGCATTCTCTATTTCATGAGCTGGATCAATGTTTAAAAAGAAATTGCGGAACTCATTATTTGGTCTTAAAATACATGTGGACTGAGTGGGTTCTATGATTATTTTTTCTCCGATGAAGGAATACAAAATTTGATGCATTAGGGTTTCTGTATAATCAAAACCCTCTTGTTGATGGAACCCCTTTGCAACAAGGCGAGCTTTGTACTTATTTACAGTTCCATCAGGATTTTCTTTAATTTTAAAAACCCACTTACAACCTATGACCTTTCTGTGTGAGGGGAGAGATACAAGAGACCAGGTTTTGTTTGTTTGCAAGGCTTAAAATTCTGCTTGCATAGCTTCCAACCATGGAGGACTGGCCAAGGCTTGTTTGACAGTATGAGGTTCCATGTGAGTGAGAAGAACAAGTGAACGAGCTAAAGCTTTTGATCTTGTGACAATAGAGTGAGGGGAGGGAGGTGAACTGACTGAAATGGAAGGTTGATAATCAGAAGAGGATGACGTGTACCAAAAATTCAATATTTGGACGTACGTGAGTTTGAAAAAAATACATTTTATAATTATAAATGATTAAATGAATCAAGGCAAGCTTTTATTTTTTATATGCAAATCAAGTCAAGTCTAGAATTTAGTTCGTACTAAGTTAATAAGTAAAGCCAAGCTCAAAATATTTTTCATAGGCTTGACTTGTTTAAGCTAAAGTTTGAATCGGTTTAATTCATTTACACCCCTAGTTACAATAGAGTGATATTCCGTTTTAAATCATTTTCTTTTGTTTTTCTATTTCACATCCAATGATTTGTAGCAGTCTCACAAGTTTCGTGATGTGTTTTGTTTATAAGAATCTGTGTCAATTAGCAATTCTCTCTCAAATTAAAATAATGGAGGGACGATCCACATATTATTAATTTTAAGTTTATCCTAATTAATTCCCTATTTAATATAAATGAATTGGGCCATCTTAGATGCTACCATATTGTAAGCAAAGCAAATGGAGATGCTAAAATTCTATCGAGCCCACATAAGCCCTAAGCTTGATCGCCCAATATAGAAGATGAAAATAATTTAAAATTTTCATTTAAAAAGTGAAAATAATTCTATGGTTATTTCTTTTTAATTTAATATTCAGTTAAAGAAATTGATTGAAATAATTTTACATATTATATACGAGATTAGTATTTGTCTTTTTAAATGATAAAATTATGTCATTTTAGTCATTGTATTTTTAACAAGAGAAACATAAATTGTGAGAGAAAGTAGAAGGTTTTTTTAAATTTAAATATTAAACAAAAATAATAAAATTAACTAAAATAATTAGGAAAAAGATATACTTACCACCAAAAAAGTTTACAATCTTTACAACTAACCTAATCATCATTGATTTTCGTCAATCTAACAGTTATAATTTATTGAAAATTATTGGATCGCATTTATTAATAATTATTAATTCCTAATAAATTATAACCGTCAGATTGACGGAAATCCACGATGATTAGATTAGGTGTAAAGGTAGTAAACTTTTTTGGTGATAAATATATTCTGTCTCAAATAATTATAATTTAAAGGATAAATATTTTTTGTCATTTATATATCGTGAATAATGAAAAATATATTTAAATGGAGAAAAGAAAAGCACCGCAGTTGTAGCAAGCAAGTTAGCAATGAGCGGAGTCTGTGCTGTATTTGGTTGCAATAGAAACAGAGTGCGACCAGTGACTGCAACAAAAGACGCGTGTCTGATCCTTGTTCTTCTTCATTTCCCCCCTTTGACTCCTTCCAATAATTTCTCATTCCCTATATTTTCCCATCCCAAAAACAGAAACAGATCCTTCTTTTCTTTTACCAAAACAAAACAAAATGAGTTTATTGGATACTTATCAATATGTATTTGGGGCTTGCATTTATTATGTTACATGAAACAAAAAAAGTTTCATACACACATAATATTTTGTGGGGTTTGCACTTTTTAAAGCACAAAAAAAAAAAACTAATGCACGTAAAACGAATCTCTATAACATTACACTATTATTTTTCCTACAACATAATTTTTATAAAATCCTATAAAATATGATTCACAACCCTAACAATATATTATAGGATATTTATGATATAATACCGATGTTATATAATATAAAAACCAAATCAAAATTTATAATTTTTAATATAAAAAAATAAAAATTTAACTTGTGATTTAAATTAAAAAATATAAAAAAAATATTATTTATGAGAAGAAGAAAATAAAGGCATCATCATATAAGAAAAGATAATATTAGCAGGCTTGATAAACAAAACGATATTATCAATAGACAATAAGAATAATAAGCAAAAAGAATATAGTTAAATGACTACCTTAACAAAAAGATGATGAATTAATTATATTATTAATAATCTATAGATGCTGATAATAATAATATTAATCTTAATAATTAATGATCAGGAAAGTAAGTGATTTCCACTTTAGTTATTTATGTATACGAAAAAATTCAATCCCAAACAAAATAGACGCTTAACCTTCTCTTTCTTCGTTTCATGGTTTTTCAGTTAAAACCCTTTTTTTCCGCACCCCCCTTCCCTTTTTTCATTACAAGACTTCATCATCAGACATCAATTCCCAATCCAACTTTTCAATACCCAGATTTCCATTCTCCATCACAATTCTTAAAGTACTTTTTTTTTTTTTTTCTTTCTTTCTGGGGTTCCATTTTTTCGTCTTCTTTTTAAGTTTTTGTTCTTGCTTGCTTTTCACTTTTCACCATCATCGTGTGTTTGTTTGTATATGGATCAACAAGACGAAGCGATTGCGAAGGCATCGAATTTCCGATCATTGAACCACTCGGCGTGGCTCGAAATCAGGCTCTTCTACGTTCGAATCTCTCCTTGCGTCATCGACAGCGTCCCCGAACACCTAACCCTATGCCATCCCCACCGTGAAATTGGGGTTTCCCTCGTCATCAACGGCTCCCCCGTCCCGGCGTCGGAGGCTGCGCCGCTCCCTCTTCGGCGCGACCGCGTCGATAGGGAATCGGCGGAGGTGACTTACGTCAGCACCGACAGCGTGCGCGTCACGGGAAGCGTGGAGTTCGAGGTGTACGAGAAGGAAGGGCTGTTCCTCTGCGGGTCATTGGAGCGGTTGGATGATGCTGATTGGGGCAATGGGAATGTGGCGGGTTCGGGTTCAGGTTGGAGCATGGACTGCCACGTGGCTTCCGGGTCAATTGGGTCGGGTTCGTCGGCTTTCTTCCGGCCGAAGCTCGGTGTTTCTGCGCCGTCTATCGAGGTTTACGTGGCGGGGTGTTGCTCCGGTGTGCCTGTGATTCTGAGCAAGACAATTCAGATGAGCCCCAGGAGGAGAGTGCCTAGGCATGCCACGTTGGATGCTATTCCTGAAGATGAGGAAGTGATGATGATGATGATGGAGAAGGAACACAATGGTATGAATGGGTTGATTCCTCAAAGGAAATTGCAGGTATTGCTTTTCTGACTTGCTCCTATGTGATGAAGTGATGAACTCAGATTGTACTTGTGATTTGTTATTGTGAATCGTGATTGTTAGGTTTTGGTATAGTGTTCTGTGATGTGTCTATTCTCAATTCAAGTTTAAATCAGTTTTCTTTGGAGTTGCAAGTGTGTTGTCTTAGCAGTTAATAGTTTTTATGCTGTAATGAGTGTTGGTGTTTTTGTTATGTAATTAGTCTCTTGCAACTTTTAGGAAAGGCTGCATACTATAGACTCTTCCATGGACCATGCACATAGCAGAAGTTTTATAGCTTTACGCTGCCCTTTTTATGCTGTTATTAGTGGTGTGTTTGAATCTCCTCCTGAAAATTAGATAGTTTTTTGAAAGGATTTAGGAAGAACTCATGGGCTTGTATGCGTGATGGTGTAGTGCATCCTGTGTGGTTTTGTGTGTTTCCTTACATGGAGTCCCGCTCTTGCCTTTTTCTAGTGTGGAATTACGCGTTGTATCTTAAGGACTTTTCATATTGGGTATGTCAAGGACATTATTAAGATATGTCATGTCACCCTGGAAATTTTAATATTGCACTATATACATCTTCCTTACTGAAGTTGTAGTTATATACATTTTAATATGCCTTCTTAGGAATGAAGGATCTGTAATTGCAGTTGAAGATAGAAATCTTGATTTTTCATTTTCAATAAGCTGCATAGAACAAGAAAGCATTCTGGTTGTTTTGAAAAGTGGCATAATTGATAGCAATGTTACATCCCAAAGTTTGATTTTTTTTTCTTTATAATAATCAGACCTTACTGAAGTGCTTGTTATATGGATTTGATTTTCATCTATTTGGGTTCATGACCACCAACCCCAACTTGTTTGGAATAAATGTGATACTGATGTTGATGATGTCAATTTAAAACATTTTTATGCTACCATCCATTCATGTATTGTCAAATCATCAAAAAAAGTTTGACTATTGGAGATAGTACATCGGAAGTACCCTAAACACACTTCATTAAGTGTTAGTATAAAAATTTTACACTGAAAATGGATCAAATTTAAACTTGACTTTTATATCGAAGAAAGAAAGTTTGATTTTTCATTTTCAGTTAGCTGTTTAGAGGAAGTAACATTCTGATGGTTTTAGAAACAGCATAGTTGGTAGCTCTGTTATTACCCTCCAATAGTTTGATTATTTTATTGTATCGTAATCACACTTTTCTGGTTCTATTGCTAGGTTTTTTTATGAACCCCATTAGGATGCAAGATGCATCTAGAAAATAGAAATAATACTTAATTTGGGAATTAGGCATCCCCCTTGATAATGGGTTACTCTTATTAGATGATTAAGTATCATGCTGATATGATAAGCGACGAAAGTTAAACTCAATCATATAAATTTCATGCCTAGTACTGTCTGCCGAGCCAGCTCCTGTCTTCTATTCCGATTATTACTTGAAGCATTATGATTGAATGTACGGAAATAATAGCATCATTTCTTTAAGTAATTCTTTATGCTTTTAATTTGAAGGCCAAGAATCTGACTTGCTGCATTCAATTATATCATAGTGCTTATACTTATCCCACTTTTTCATAAAACAATTTGATTTTCTATTTTTTATTGGTTGCTACATTGATGTTTTTAATACAGTTGGACAAAAATATCTTCCATGAGCCTTAGAATTTCTGAAATGTCAATTGTTTTACTTGGACGGTATCGTGCAGATAACAGGGTCAGAAGTTGATGATTATGATTCTGATGGGAAGATGATGGGGCATGGTTATTACTCTCAAGAGATGTATCTCGGTGAGGATGGGCAACTCTCATGGTTCAATGCTGGTGTTAGGGTTGGTGTTGGAATTGGCCTTGGCATGTGCGTAGGTATTGGGATTGGTGTTGGACTGCTTATGCGCTCATACCAAACGACAACCAGAAATTTCAGGAGGAGATTTTTCTAAGCGGTAATAAGGAATTTGCTACTCTAGTTTAATGAGAAGCGCAAGAAAATATATTGGAGTTCAAGGGTGGGACATTCCTAGAGGAGGAACTAAGGAACTAAAAGTTCAATAAGTTGAATGCATGAAGCATAAGTTTTGTAGATGAGTGGAGTGTGCATTGTCTTGTTTTGTAGCTTTCTTGCAGATACGTTCTTGTATCACGTAGATTTGAATTTCATGTAAATTGCATCTGATCCTCGGATAGATTTTTAGTGCTCCTCCTGATATGCATGCTACACCCACTTAAGTTACTATACATGGACTCACATATTTGCATTCACTCTCATTTTTTTTTTCTAGGCAACTTCATTTCTGATACTACAAATGTTCATGCGTTATAGCTTAAGTGGGTGTAGTGTGTACTATAAGAGGACTAAAAATTTACCTGTGATCCTTTCACAAGAATAGATATCAATAATAGAGCAATACAACGGCTTTGAGGATGTGGTGTGCCTGCAGAAACCAGTTTTTTTTTTTTTTTTTTTTTTGATAACAGCAGAAACCAGTTTTCAGTGGCCTGCAAAAGCTTGCTGGAGGTTTTGAGTTTTGACTGTGAACATGGACAGAGATTTTACTGTTTGTTGGCTTGTAGATATTTTGTCATTTGATACAAATCTTTGTAAGCATATATATATATATATATATATATATATATATATATATATATATATATATATATATTTTGTTCCCATGGTAAATGATTTTTTTTTTTAAAACTTCCTGCCCTTTTTAAGATTCATTAATTATAAGTTTTATGTGTTTATTCTGGAAATTTTAATGTTGCGGATAATTTGAAGAAGTTTCATTCGTAAAAAAGGATGTGAACAAGAAGAAGAAAAATAAAAACTTAATGGAAGTTGAGTTTGTTTCTGAATTTAGTAAGAATATATTTATGCTTAAATTTTAGTGGATAAAGATGAAGGATGTATTTGACAATAAAGTATACATGAATATATTTTTAGTTACTCATTCATAGACAAGTTCGTTTTAAATAAATTTTATCATGAGGAAATGTAGTCAATGTTGGAAATGGATTCCAAGGCTATTGTTCTAATGAGAAACATTGGTTCCGCTTGAAGTGATGCGACCAGTAGAGTAATTAACTAAAGTGTTAGTTACTAAACTTTGCAGTGACATATTGTAACGTGAGTTAATATTTTCTTAAAATATAAATCAAATTCGATTTTGAGCATTTTTAATTTATACTCTTACTCTGACAGATCAAAAGCATTGTAAGTTCAGATGTACTAATTTGTGAGATTGCTTGATATCAAAGAATGAACCTAATTAAAGAGAAAGGCGTGATAGTGAAACATGTGGCTGTGGAATTCAATGTTTATGGGCCGTTAAAGTTATGTAAACTTGTGATTTATCTGACAGCTGAGGGGTCTTTGGGACCAAAATATCATGTGCTTGTCTAAATCTGAATCCGTTGAGGTTCATACGCCATTTGTTGGAACAGGTACCGCAATGTCACTGTTTAAATAAAAATATACTCAATTATTATGCGAATAGTAAAAAAATTTAAAGTGCCATGCATATAAGTTTGCTATATCAAGTAGCAAACTTAGTTTCCAGACATAATACCTCTCTGGTGGTAAGTTCATTATTAGCAATACTGAATTAGGTGATCAAAATATCAATATATTTTAAGCACACACAAAAAAAAAGGTGGCAGATACAAGTTCGTTAGACACTGCCATGTAAGTAAAGTACTATTCCTAGTCTGACTTCTAGTGTGTGCACTGTCTATTGTGTACTGTTCTTGTACTATTCCTAGTCTAACATAATTATAATGACGGTGTAAAAGTTTTTCACACTAATATTGTATCAAAAATTAAATTATTTATTTAATGAAAATAAATTAAAATAAATTGAAAGAAATAACAGCACGAACATCATGTAAATGCACATTAGTTATGCATACGAAATTTGTGTTTATATATTACCTTAATTTGAGAATGAGGGAGGATATTTACATAGTCGTATATATGCTTCTTTGGATTTGTAGGGAAGTAAGTATAATGATTAGGATTTAAGTTGGGAAGTAACCTTTTGGTTTTGGGCCTCCTAATTCGTAAGATGGTTTGCAAATGCCATAAAATCCCTATGTAATAAGATCATAATTATTTTTAATCTGGATTAAGACTTTGACTGATTTAGGATTTTTGCTTGATTTAGGATTTAAAATTAGTTGTTCGTAAGAAAAAAGTAGAGGAAAAAGACTCCTCTAGAATTAACTTGTATATAAATTAAGCAAAGTAAGAATATATTAATTTAAAAATGCATATTGATTTTATTTGAAAGTGCACGTTAATTTTAATCTATTGAAATTTTAAAGGTAAATATACACATATTTATTTTAAAAGCAACTATTTAAAGGAGTTTTTCCCAAAATGGAGATTTGGACAATGGGAGATAATGTAATTTTTTTTTTAAAAAATTACATTAGCGTGCTGTTTGCAATAGTGCACACGCTGTTTGCTCTGCAAGTTAAAAAGGACTTATTCATAAATGCCAATCTCAAATCGCGATCAAGAATAGTACATTTGAGATGGTGTAATGTTGTTCGCTACCCTATACAACGAATTTGTAATACACATGTTTTTTTTGCTCACTTTATTCGTTATTGTTAATAGCAAATTATCACTAAAAAAGTGTCACCCCTGCGAACTAAGTTTTTTGAAAATTTTTACTATTTGCTATATTTTTTTTCATAAACAGTGACATTATAGTCGTGTTTCCCATTTGTTAGTGTCAACTCAAAGGAATGCACATAAAATAGTCAAACTCGTAGTATTAATTTTATATATTTAATTAATACAGACTAAATAAAATATAATTTATTATCTATGTTTATCATGGTAGGATGCAACGTGTCAAATTCTTATGGTATTACATCATTGCCATCTACTTTCATAATTTCGTTACCGTTGCTAGAAGTATACGATTTCTTTTTTATTATGCTGTTCCTTAATTTAGTCTTGTCACAATGAATATAAATAACAAACTTTTTGACGTGATGAACTGTGAGTTTAAAATTGGAGAAAGAATACTATCTATCTTTAAGGGGTTCGTGAATCTTCTTCTGGGGCAAGGTAGAACTTTCCAACATAAAGTTGGGTAACTTCTAGGTATAGGTAGAGGATTTACCTACATATAATAATATAATCCTCACTCACTTATCCACACTCCATTTTGCGTCTCATCATTTGTGCTTCTTTTAATATTGTTTTAAGGGAGCGTTTGGTTGAGGAGAAGATTTTATGAATAATAGGAAAATGTGATTACTAGAGAAATAGTTAGAATATGAGTTTGATAGAAAAATGTAAAAAAAGTTGTTTGGTGGGATAAGATTTTGATGGGGAAATTAGATAACTTTTATAAAGTCTATGTTTGGGTGTAGGTAAAATATAAATAGAAAAAAAAGTTGTTTTTACGAAAATAACCTCGTTTTGTTTTTACGAACTGGCACCAACCACATAATTTTATCATCCAATGAAGTCCAAGCCACCATATCCTTAACAGGCAATTCATCGAACAAGTCCAGTGCAGACACCATATCCCCACTCCTGGCATACGCAACAATCAACTCTGTCCAAGAAACCACATCCCGTTCAACCATTTCATCAAACACCTTGCACGCACAATGCAAAAGCCCAGATTTCTCATACATATCGATCATGGTGTTGTTGACATACAAATCAGAGTCAAACCCACCAACCAACAGTGTCTGGGCATGAACCTGCGCGCCCAAACTAGGATCGCGAACGACGCCACAAGCAGAAAACAGAGCAGAGAAGGTAAATGACATGGGATGGTGAAGAGAAGAGCAGAGAAGGTAAACGACAGAGCAGAGCAGAGAATGCATCCAATTTTTTTTGTTCCACCGAGTTACCTCCCACAAGGGGTACGCTGGTCTTTTCTTTAGATAGCCAAGTGAGTAAATATGGTGGTTTTCAGCAATACCATCTTGCAAAAGGGAAACTTTGGCCGGCAATCTCGGTAGAAAAAGATAGGGAAATAGGTTTGGTAGCAATCACAGTTAGGTAGCCAAGTGAGGAAGCTAATTCAACCAAACGATGGTTTTATACATTCCCACTTCTCATTTATCTATCATTCTCAAAAGAATCCTTCAACCAAACAGCCCCTAAGGGAATTATTATTCTTATGTTGTAGTGATAGGTATCTTATGTCATAGACTCAACATATGTGGATTCCATTGATTTAAAAGAAAAAAAAAAAAAACAAGCACAAATATCGAAAAGTCAGTAAGAAAATTTTTCTATCTTATGCTGCATGAGATTAACTTAACCCTTGTTTTAAATATATTATGGAATCATCCACGTGTACATTTTATCCATGTTCACGCCTGTTTCCAAACACAACCCTATCCTGCTTAGGACAACACTGCCTAATTCTATATTTGTGTAGGTCGAAGGATAACCCTCCAAAGTCCAAACCTTCCAGTTTGATCCCAATAAAACTTGAAGTTTCTTTTTAAAAAAAAATATGTATATATTTTTTATACCACGTAGTGTAATTAATGGTAACTTCATTAATATATAATTATAATGCAACATAGACTATTCTCATTGACAAGAACTAAGTTGTAATGACTAAGGATATCCCATTACTCTCGTATAAAGGAAAGTCAACATAGGACCTTTGAAGATGCGCTTCTGTTCTTTTTCTCCTTAGTTTTTCGGCCACGGTTGCAATTTAATTTTTGGATATTAAATTGTCACTGTTACATTATACATTCCACATATATATGTTGATATATCATTTAAAACTTTTAACTGTGGTTATTTTTAATTTCAAATCGTCTGTTACGATGTAACTAAAGAAATTTAACATGCAGTATCAAGAAATGAAAAAAAAATGTCAAGCGATTATTATTATACTTAAATTCTTTTATTTATACAATAATACATGAGCCAATTATTATAATAAAATTTACACCATAATGAATCAAAATTAAGAACACGCCAAATATTTTTTTTAAATTTCTTTATAAATAATCTTTGCCGTGTACAAAATTTATTTCGTAGGTTCAATTTCTTCTAAACCTCACAACGAGACAACTCTTTTTTTTCTAAAGCTCTTATACACTAAAATAAAATAATTATATATATATAATATATTTCTAAAATTTTTAATTCTTATTATTTTCTTTATGCCTATAAGTTCTTACGTTTAACTATATTTATTAGAGGAGAGATCTTTTAACTCTAGAGTAAAACATATTATCCTATTTTTTTTATCAATTGGCTTTTCAGGCAATATGCATCATGTATGTACATTTTTCCTTAGTCACAGTGATCTATTACCTCATTTTTTCAACCTTTTAATTTCCATAAAATAAAACACATTCACTCGTGTAATAAAACTCAACAAAATAGTTTGGATCCATATAATATAAAAAAGAGAACACAAAATTGCAATAATGGATTTAACCGCCATTGCCACTTTGTGTCACGTGTATGCAGATGCAAACGAGGGGCGAGGACAAAATGGTCATTTCATACTATTTTCCGTTCTATATAAAAGGTTTGTTTTAAGAATCCAACACCGGATATTGAGCAACGAAAACGAAGACGACAAGAACAGAAACAAATACTGAGGTTATTGGAAAACACAGAAACAGAGTTACCGACGCAAACACGAAACAGTAACACAATCAATCAAATTAAGGTTACGGTTTTGATCTTGATGGTGTCCGTGAACCCTAACCCAGCTCAAGGCTTTTACTTCTTCGATCCTTCCAATATGGCCCTTCCTGGTGTCAATCCTCTCCCACCTCCGCCACCGCAGCCTCCTGCTCCGGCCGCAACCTCCTCCACCACCGCAGAGGACCCGAATAAGAAGATCCGAAAACCATATACGATTACCAAGTCTAGGGAGAGCTGGACGGAGCAGGAACACGACAAGTTTCTAGAAGCTCTCCAATTGTAAGCCCTTTTTTTTTTTTTTTTTTTTTAATTTTCTTCATTGAATTGAAATCCATGTTGCTGTAAATTAGGCTCTGTTTGGGTGTGAGAATTGTTTTTTTTTTTTAATTTTTAATTTTTGTTTAGGAATTTTTCCATTTCTTGAGTTTTCTTGATTATTAAAGGCGATTAATTGGTTGTGAGTTGGGGTTTATGATAGGTGCTTGTAGTGTAAACCCTTTTGGTGTTATGCTTTAGATTCGTTTTATAATTGGGGTTCTTAAAATTCTTCCTCTTCTTTTTTATTATTTATATTTATATTTTGATTTAGTTTGATTGGTGGTATTTTATTCATAAGCTTTTGGGTTTTTAGTTTTAAGTAAGATGCGGGTTAAAAAAAGGAACTATTCTAGGATGGGAGAGTTAAATTTCTTTGTGTGTTTTTCTTTGATAACTGTAAGATTAACTTCATTTAGTTAAGTTCAACTTTGGTGGGGTGTGAATGATTTGGTGATTTGAATTGTGGGGTTGTAAATATTGTAGTGTGAAGCAATCTACCATTATTCTCAGTTACTCTTCTAACATTTTGTGTTTGGTCATGTTGCAAACTCGCATTTGTACCCGACTAACTGAAATCATGAAAGAACTGCATCCATATATATCAGAGAAGAAAGTGTTCTGTTTTAATTTTTTTAATTTAACGTGTTTATGGTTTATTTACAACATGCCTTGATTAAGCTTTTCAACAATAGTAAATTCTCTCTCTCTCTCTCTCTCTGTGTGTGTGTGTGTGTTCTGATGATCACTCAACAGACAACAATTTAAATTCTAAACAAATCATAAAATTGTGAGCACCCAAACAAGTTTCTTTGCTTTAATTTAATAACCAAGTTTTAAGGCTGCCTCTTTCAACTTATAGAACAAACTGCGGAGCGCAGATTCTGTAATGGAATGTTTTCTAGAGGGAAGTAGATGCATTGTTAAACAGTTTTTTTTATTATTATCTACATTTTAGGGAATGAATTTATTTCATCTGCATCTATATTATTTTTTATAGCTTGCAGATTCTGTGAAAATTAATAATTGAAAGAATCAGGGTTTAGAACTCCTTAGTTACAAAATCCATCACCTCAAGAATAGTATCAGCAAAAATCATGGTCATTGACATGAGTTTAGGGCAAACCATAGAGTTGTCATTTTGCATGGGTACGTTGTGCACTCCTAGAAATGCACTACCATGCTTTCTGGATAACATCACTAAAGGCTTTTTCCCCCCTTTCTGTTGATTGCTTGCCAAAAGCAGTGTATGTAACAATAATGGTGGTATCTGATTTACTTGTTTATTTTTGCTTATTTCCTTCTGTGTTTCTCTTGACTGATTTCAGATTTGATCGTGACTGGAAAAAGATTGAAGCATTTGTCGGTTCAAAAACAGTTATCCAGGTAATTATTATAAAAGTCAAAGGGAAACAAAGAACAAGTTATTAGTGGAAAATAGATTATTTTGGTTTTTCTTCAAACAGTGAAAATGACAATAAGAAATTTATTCATTATTCCACATTATTCTTGAATTTTGAATTCTATATTGGGTATTTAATGAAATTTATTCAGTGCTACGACTGAATATCATACTCGAAGGTGAGCTTAAAACTTGCTTTTTTAGAGGTTTCTTGAAATGAGTAAATGGTGACCTGATGGTTTCCAGAAGACTGTCAATTGAAACCCTAGACCTGAGGTATGTGTGATGATTGGAGTTAGTTTTATCCATAGCTTTTTGTTCCTTTTTAATATCTACCCTTGCTAGGAAACCAATTAATTTTTTGTTCATTGAGCCAATAAAGTACATATTTTGGTCTGGATTTTCTTGCATCACAATGAAATGCAACTTATTCTTCCTTTCTTTTTCTTCAAAAACCTAAGGTTTGATGGTGGGATTAAGAACATAAACTTGTAGTTTGTAATCTTTGTTGCATGGTTAATTAAGTACAAAAGAAAGGACATAAAGTTATTAACCCATCTTGGATTATATTAGCGAGTGTATTTATTTCATCAATTTTCTTATGGTGAATTTCTTAACATTCATTTCATGTTCCTCTAACTATACCTTCTTCACCCTTCTATGCTAAATTCTTTTTGGCAGATACGAAGTCATGCACAAAAGTATTTTCTTAAAGTTGAGAAGAATGGAACAAGTGAACATGTACCTCCTCCTCGGCCAAAGAGAAAAGCTGCTCACCCATATCCTCAAAAAGCTCCTAAAATCAGTTAGTATAGCCAACCATATTTAATGTATCAGTAGCTTGATTCTGTTATTTCAATTGTTGAATGACACTGGTTTTTATTTTTTCATTTTATCAGCTCCTACTGTATCCCAAGTCACAGGGCCATTGCAATCTTCATCTGCTTTCATTGAACCTGCCTATATTTATAACCCAGATTCATCATCTGTGCTTGGAACTCCAGTTACTAATGTGCCTTTATCATCTAAGAATTACAGTGCTATACTGCCAGTTAGTGTGCCACAAGTGACTAGAGGTTTTGTTTGTTCTGAAGTTCATGATGCTTGTTTTACTTTTTTTGTATAATTAAAATCTCTATTTTTTCCAATCTATTCTATGATGAATTTAGATATGAGGAAGGTTGTGTTAACTCAGAAAGTTTTTTGTTTGTTAGATGACACGGGATTGACTGGAGCTGGACAAGATGTTCCTCCTAATTGTTGCTACAGCAGTAGTAATGAGAATACACCTCCAGCCTGGCCAAGTAGCAAAGGGATTAATCAAGGCGACCAAGGCAAGCCAGTTAAAGGTTGGGATGCTTCTCTATCTCTAATTTGAACTAGATTCAGCTTGAAATTGACATAATGGAATAATCACAAAATCTTTAATTGGATCTTTTTTTAACTTGGAGAATATTGTTTGTAACAGTGAGGTGTTACTTGAGTTTGATTCAATTAAAAAAAAGAAAAAGAAAAGAAGTCTTGAAAATCATAGTTCCATTGTACCAGGACCATGTTTCCAAGATGATTTTGGTTTTGGCATAGCCCGATTGTCTCTGCTGTCTTATTTGTGTTGTTCTGGAAGGTCTCTATAGGAATTAACTAGTAAAAAATTAAAGCTTTTCATTCATTGGGATTAGGAAACAACTGAAAGAAGGATTTCATGCATAAGGCTGTAATGAGTTAGACTGGGCCCATTTCACCAAAATCTAAAGTACCATGCTGAACCCAGCTGTTCTAGCCAAAGATGTTGCCCCGACTTTGAAGTCCCAATCTTGCTCAACAAATCTGACAGTTTTGTACAATTACGAGGGGGTGGAGGGAGAGGTTGAAGCACTTTTTTTTTTGGTTATTTTTAATGTTATTGTGAAGTTCTACATATAGGTTAGGCATAGTGCAACGGAAGTATAGTGACTAATGACATTGGACTGAACTTGAGGATGAAATCTGAATGTCCAAAATATAAGCTAAAAATTACAGAATTCAATTAAACGTATCTATGATCAGGAAGAAAAATCAAAATTGAACCATGAGTTTTTGAATTGGTTTTGAAGAAGTTCACATGAAACATGCTAAAATTACATATTTCTTTGAGTTTTCATTTGTTTAGTTACAGTCACAAGGCTTAAGAAGCAGAGCCAAATATTCTTGGAAACAGTTCAAAAAGAATGAAAAGAAACTAAACTACAGAACCCTAGAGCTGCTTTATTGAAGGGGGCGCACAGTAAAACTAGTTTTGCAAACTGCACCACTGCTCACATAAAATGAAATATTTAAAAGTTGATTTAGGGTTGATTACCCTTGAGTTGGGACAGGGTCTTCAATTCAAAAGATGCACTTTGATGTGTTCTTGGGTCTTCAAGAAATGAGAACGGCTGGGCGAGAAGTATTTAGTACAAAACATCTGGATCTTATAAAATGAAGATTACAAATTTTCTCTGTTCTGAATTTTCTGTTTGGAGTGAGTAGTGCATACAAATAATAACGTTAATATTGTAGTATTTTTTTTTCCATTAACATTATTCTTCGCTCTTGCATCATTTTATGTGTATAAATAGTAATGTTTATGAATTGTATTAATATTATTATGTTTGTTATGTTGTGGCCCGCTAGATGTCTGATGTTGAGATTGTCAAGCATCTATTTTACTATTATGTTCATGGTTCTTGCCATGCTCTTGTTGACAAGTTTACCTTCTCTATGCAGTAATGCCAGATTTTGCACAAGTGTACAACTTCATTGGCAGTGTATTTGATCCAAATTCAACTAATCACCTACAGAGACTGAGACAGATGGACCCAATAAATGTTGAAACGGTAATTAATTAATATCAAGCCCTTCATCTTCTTTGCCTCCATTTGTTTAATTTAATGGCTAGTTTGCCCGAGTAATTTACATGGTCCAGTTTTGCAGGTACTGTTGTTGATGAGAAACCTCTCCATCAATTTAATGAGTCCTGAATTTGAGGATCATGTAAGTTTTGTTCCCAATTGAGATATTCTTCTTTGCAATGAGTTGTTTAATTATATTGTTTTCACCCTTATTTAAATGTTAGCAATAAAATAGGCTCTTTTTATTCCCATTTCTGATATACAAAATCAACACCCGCATGATGTTCAGACTTCAGAATCCATTGGAGATGACTATTTTCACATGCAGATACATGCAGAAGTATAGAAAAGTTAGCCAGGCAGGGAATTTAGTGGAGGATGAGTTATTTTCTGTGTTTATTATTTTGAATTGCATGTGTAGTTCTTCAGCTGCAGTCTTCTCTTATTCTGATAAAAGAGGGATCTATTCTCAAATTTAATATATTGTATGCTCCATGCTGTGATTGCAAGTGTTATCTTTTCATTTATTTCATCATAATGTATTAATTTATTTATTTTTTTGCCAAATCTTTAATTAATGAATGCAGAAGAGGCTGCTTTCATCATATGATGCTGACTCCGAGAGGGCAAAGTTTGTTAATCTTCGTAGCAAATCCCTCACTGACAAATCTGAGAGTGCTGTTCTGTCTGCTTAATGGGGTTTACCAGTGGTTTCTCCTGAAGAGAGAGATTGAAATATATTTCCTGAATACACCTAAATTGGGCACAAGAGGGGGAAAGGACAAAAGGTTTTACTAAAAGAAAATGTAGCATGTAGATGCTTGCATGTGTATATAATACGTATATATACCTTTTGGATTGTGTTTTGTTTGTTTTAGGCTCGTTTAGGATCTTATGAAGATGATTGTCCTTGAAATGCAGGACAATGAGAGTCTTGTTGAGTTCACTTCTGGAGGCTATACTGTACAGTCTGTTGAGTGCTTTTGTGTGTTATGCTGTGAAGCTTATTTCTAGAATTAGAATACAAAAGCGGTATTAGGACTTTAGTCTTTAGAAGGTGCCGTTTGGGTTGTATATAAACCAATAAAAAGTGTATTTGAGTTTTACTTTGTTTTAAGGTGTGTATTATACTTATATAACCTGTCTTGCTACCTGGTCTCATTGATATTTAGGAGGCATTTTGATACGTAGATATATAACTCCCAAGCGTCTTAAATATCTAAGCAATATTCGTATTTGGTACTATAGTAATGTTATGACACAAGCAATTCCAATGTCCTCTATTAAGGTAAAATATTAGCTTTTGTACGGGCGGTTAATATAATAAAAATAGTTACTACTAACTTTTTTGTTAATAATGTTTCTTGTTATTGTTACCAATTTACAGTACAGTGTTTATTATATTAAGTTATTAAAAATTCATAAATTGTATAGTATCATAAAATATTTTACGAGTCATGCGATATTCGGCGAGAAGCTGGAGATTGAACTGACAAGATCCCCAGTTCATGGCGACCGGAGTTATAGCTAATTCATGGTTTGACCGTGAACCGGGCAATTAGGTCTAGTTTTTAAAACATTGGGTCCAAGAGTTAAAGACATTTTTGCACGAAAGTAGAATGCTATGAATTAGGGGTGTCAAAATATGTTAAAGATCCGTGACTCAACCTATGATACAACACTTCAAAATGCGTGTTGCATTGATATGTGAGATAAATGGATTGTATTAGAGTTTGAAAAATGACACAAAGAGAGCGTTTGGTACGCGATATTCTTCAGAATTTTTGTGAAACTAAACTTTTCTAAATTTTTAATTTTTGAATATTATCGTAAATTAAATGTAAAAATTATATTTCTGAAAATCGAGATTCTCAGATAAAAAAAAAAAAATTCTCCTCTACCAAACGCCCTCAAAATATTATTATAGGGAACTTTTTTTCCAAAAGTATAAAAAAGGTTAAAATTTTGATAATTTTTATACGATTTGCTATGAATCATAGGTTAATTAGTGTAAATTTAAATTTTTTGTATACCCATGTGATCTGTTACTTAAATCATAGGTTATGTTCAATTATCATTTTTTTTGGTAAACAATTCCCATTATTTAACCTGTGAACAAATATGTATTATTTTCCGGTTGAACAATTTAATCCACGGATTAAACCTTAACATAACATTAACTTGATGTGCCAAATCATTTTGCCATCTTTACAAACTATCAAGTACAATTGATCAACGCAATAAGCATCAATTACAACCATGAAAATTGTGAAATTTCATTTAACTCCAAAATTGAGTTACACTAAAAACAACATAGATCTAAACCTATGGTGTTCGAGACCATGTGCACCAAAGTTTAGCTGCAAATTGTTTTTTCATGTAACACTATTACGTGTCAATTATCATCAAATAACAAGAAATGTAAGTCCCACCACTTTAGTTGAAGTGGTTTCTCTTTAAATGTAGGGCCAAAAAAAAATAAAGATTAGAAAGTTCATTGTATTTCGACTATTTTTCAAAATCTGAAGTCCCATTTTTTTCCATATGATGATAAATAGGTATTTATACTTGTTTACGAATTGTAGTTATTATTTATAGAAACTGAGTTAGTCACATGATTCACATCAATTGATTTAAAATTTGATGATACACACATTTAGTTCAGCATGACACGAGCCATTAGATCCATGGATACCAATGCGGGTCAATAAAACCCGAAATCTGAATCTAAAGCAGCTATATATTATATATTTGCAGGCCAGCGTTGGAGCTTCCAGAACTTTCTCTTGATCGTTAGCAATGGAGTTCCCTTACATGGAAGCTGTCGTTGGTGAGTTCTCTCTCTTCTCTCTGTAATGGTGCTACCGTTATTCTCTTCTCTCTCTTATCGGAAGCACGAGCTCAATTGTTTCATTGAGCTGAGTCTTCTTCTGTTGCTGAAGCTACTGGCTGAGTTGCATTGCAGTTCTTTGCATCGTTGTCTGGGATTTTGATTATGGATATCATGCTCTGTTTAGATTTTTTGTTTTTTTTAATTTACTTCTTTTTTCTCCTGTTAACGTTTTCTGGGAATTCAGGAAGAAATTAACTTTGCTGGATTCTGAATTTAGGGTTTATCGTGAAATTTAGGGTTTTTTTTTAATTCTGTTTTGATTCTATCATATCAGGATTTTGAATCTCTCTCTCTTTTTCACTGGCACTTGGAACCTACATGCATGTATTCGTTTATTTCTTATGTTATGAATGGTAGAGAAGAATATTGTTTTGGTTATAAATTGAGAATGAGGAAATTAATGTTAGAAGTTATTACTCGATTATTTGAACTACAACCTCTGCGTTCTATGGATAGTAAGAAACATAAATTTTGGATTAAAATTCTTAGTTCTGTTTATGCTTGTCTCTGTGGCTGTTAAGCAGTGTGTTGTGCTGAGGCTTGGCCTTGTGATAGTTTTTGTACTGGGTGTTTCTTGAAGAGTAGCTGGTTTGCCTCAATATAAAGCTGGTATGGCAGCCAATGATGATTGGCTCAACTAGTAGGATCTAACTGCGTTGACTAAAGGGTCTCGGGGTTTAATTCTTTCTAATGATCCTTTATTGGTATGTCATCTTGAAGTACCACTGTAAGCCCTTGGTGAGGCCTGTGGCATGTTTACCTTGGAATAGGGCAACTTCCCATCCCCCTGAACTTTTTATTACAAAAAAAAGCTGGTTTGGTAGTAGGACTGACTCCATAAGCATGTCGAAGCTGGTAGAACATATTAATTATACTCTTATTATTTTCTGCAGTAGTTTATTTGCAGCATTTTTTGATTGATTAGGACAACAACAAATAGCAAACCGAGCAAAATTGCTCTGCAACATTAAATATCTATGGTCTCTTTCCAGTTCATAAACTGACAGTTACTACTTTTCTCTCCGGATTTAAGTATATGATTTCTGAGGTTCTGTAAGGATTTATCATTCATCAATTTGTGTTAACTGTAAATAATAAATTTAACTTATCTTGAAGGAATACTAGAATACACCTGACTGGAAATTTGGTAGGTTTCCCTCTCCAACACATAAGGCTATTTTAAATAGTGGAAGCTTCCTTTAATTTCTGTTATTTTGAGACCCCTTTTGTCCTTTCTATGCTTCCTTGCTCCCCCCTTCCATAAAAAAAGAAAAAAGAAAAAAAAAATATCAAGGAAAAAAATTATAGTAGCCTTTCACAAAAAAGGAAGAAAAACATGATAATGGTCTAGTTTGCTAATAGATGGGTTACCGTGTTAGATTGTGATTATTCATTATTATTTATTTGATATAGTATTGACTCTCTAATCTTGTTAATCATGTACTCTTCTGGTACTATTCAACTGTTTTGCCACTGGACATAAAATATCAGATTTACCTGATTTGCTGTTTTCTTCTAATTCATTTCCAGGGTTTATGATATTAATGTACTTTTTTGAAACTTACTTGGATGTGCGACAACATGCGGCACTCAAACTTCCTACTCTTCCAAAGACTTTAGAAGGAGTAATCAGCCTAGATAAATTTCAGAAATCTAGAGCCTATAGTCTAGATAAAAGGTTTGTTCTTTTGTTTCATGGAATTTCTGATGCAGTTGGATGCTTGTACTTGGTATCTCATTCTGAAGGTTGCTTCTGGGATGTCTTACTAGTATTCTTATACATGGCTATTTGTTTACTTTGTTCAGCCACTTCCATTTTCTTCATGGGTTTGTGACAATAGTGATGGATTCCACAATTTTGTTCTATGGGGTGTTGCCCTGGTTTTGGAAGGTGAGGATTGGTTTGGTGTTTATGAAATCCAACTTTATAACTATATGATCACCATTTGATGTGTATTCTTGATTGCAGAAATCAGGAAACTTTGTGACATTAGTGGGTCTCAATGCAGAGAATGAAATAGTGCATACCCTTGCCTTTTTAGCTGGTGCCATGATCTGGTCACAGGTATGTTTGTGACTTCCCTTATTTGAGAATAAAATAGTTTTGAGTATATTACTGGAGAATAAAATAGTTTCGGCTGTGTTATGTATTTTTTTGAGTGTAACTCTAGTATTTTATGGTGTTTTCTTTGGCACAGCAGCTGATTTAGGATAAAATTAGGCATTTGGCATTTTGGCTTCTATTTGGTTAAAGCATGTGGTCTTTTGATGGGGTTCTCCTAGCCTATATGCTGAGGGATTAGGTGGCTTTGTTCTATTTTCCCGTTTTCATGTTTCTGTTTTCTGTTTTCTTTGTTGTTTGTTTCCTTTTCATGCTTAGGAGGATCTCTTATCCTCCAAACACTCTTACCGAATTTCATCTTTAATAAGCAAGTCTTTGGTTTGTGGGGGGGGGGGGGGGGGCTATAGCAACTTGGTGTGTGAAACATTGCTTTAGGAAGGAATGAGGAAATATTGAAGTTTGGACCATAGTCTTCTTGCCTCAAGATAATCCAGAGTCAAAGAGTATAAGGACTATAGCAAAATGAATATGATGCTAAGATTGGGTCAGTGCAATTATTATAGCCCTTGAAATTCTGTTTATCAGTCATACGCATTTCTTTTGTCCTTTGGTTTGATTTTGAGATATTATTTTCAAAGTAACACCTGCTTTTCAATTGCTTTTGTCTGTGTCCCTAACTCCCTATCGGTTTTTCACAGAAAGCTTAATAACAAGAAAACTTTTAATGTTCTTTTCCTTTCCAATATTGTGATATCCTCTTACCTTTACTTTTTAGATAGAACCCAATCTTGGATAAATATGGTTATTTTCCTAAGGTTCTCGTTGCCAGTCTCTTGATGAATAGGCATATGCTAGTAGGTTAAAGGCTATATACACTGTGACTCCAAGTAAAATGCTCCTACACCTCTAATGCTGCTAGACCTCGGATGGCATTTACTGGAACTTGCAAGCTTTACGGTGTATGTGATAGCTGGGGCATTGGAATTGATATCAATATTCACATCTTATATTTAAATGAAATCAATCGTGTACTTTTGCAGATAACTGACTTGCCTTTCTCTTTGTACTCAACTTTTGTGATCGAGGCCCGTCATGGTTTTAATAAGGTTCATCTTCTTCCTTCAATCATCAATCTATTTTTACATCCATGTATTTAACCCTCAACTTTTTTTGTTTGATTTTACATCTAATTTTACTAAAGTATTGAATAAGTTTGACCATTTTGAATTCATATCTTTTTATGTGCTTACCTTTTTTATCATCTTTTGTGCAGCAAACAATATGGTTATTCTTTAGAGACATGATTAAAGGAATATTCCTTTCTGTTTTAATTGGTCCTCCTATCGTGGCTGCAATTATTTTAATAGTACAGGTGAGGTCCTATGCTCTGTTGAAACAACCATTACATGCAAACTTCGCTTGGAATTTAATTTCCTAGTCTTTTCTTGATTTTGAGTTACTTTTGGTTGTGATATTATTGCTTTATGCGATATGTCGTAAATGTCATTGTATTTATCCTGCCAGAGTGCTTATTTGCTATTTTAATGTTCATATGAATATTTGCAGAAAGGAGGTCCTTACTTGGCCATCTATCTATGGGCGTTTATGTTTGCTCTTTCTATTGTGATGATGACAGTATATCCAGTTCTAATAGCTCCACTCTTCAATAAGTTTACCCCGGTTTGTATTTTCAAACCTTTTAATTATTTTGAAAAAACAATTATGGATGCATTATATTTGTTATTATTATCATTCCCCTCACAAATGTTCTGGAAACCAGCTTCCAGAAGGTCAGCTCAGGGAGAAAATTGAAAAACTTGCTGCCTCCCTCAGGTTTCCATTAAAGAAGTTGTTTGTTATCGATGGATCCACAAGGTCGAGCCACAGCAATGTAAGTGTAGAACTTCTGTATATTTAATACAGTTTTTGTTATTATTATGATGCATATTTTCTTGAATCTTAAATGACTTTTCGCTCATATAATCGTAATGTTTATTCTTTACTTGTCTATTATTGGCTATTTGGCTTGAAATTTTTGCTAGATCTAAAAGTGTAGCCTGAATGTTTAGTCATTGCTATTTTTGCTCCCTTGACACCCATTGCAAGTTCAATAAAATTTCATTGCATCTGCATGCATGTCGAGGATAGTGTTGGATAAAAATTCAATTTCACTGGGTTTTGTCAACCACCATAATGTTTGATTTTGGGGGGAAAATATAGCACTCATGAGAATTTTCTTTCTCTGTTTATATGGAGCACCCTTGGAATCCCAATAGAATTGGATGTTAATTGACAAGATATAGCTGACTTCCTTTTTGGTGTTGTGGTCACCTTCTATTGACCATGACTTTAGTGCTTAAGCAGGCATGTGTGCTTTGAATATATTTTGTCCCCCGTGTCTCAGATACATCTCTCTTGGTTAGCAGATCTTGGCTGTACAGTTGTGAAAAACAACAATTTTTTAGTATTGTGATTATTTAATGAATGTCTTTAAATATTGGCTTGCATATGATTGATTTTTGAAATTTGTTATAGCCATTTGCTTCGAGTTATAAGTGAGGCATATTTGTTGGCACACCTGCTAGATATCTTCTATGTTTCGGACATTCTTCTTTAAAACTGATTTAGTTTATGATTGACATTGTTTAAGACTAGATATTACCTTGTAGCTCTAGTTTAAAAGGGGAGGATGTGCCCTTTGTTCCAAAGATTTTTCTTTTATTCTTATTTTATATGGGGGATGGTAAACTGCTAATGCTTAACAGCAGTGGCAAAGACTACGTGTTGCTTTGTTATGGAATAGTGTACCTGCCTTGCAGATTTTCTTATTTGGATTGCACGGGATATTTTGTCAAATATACTCATGGGATTGGCTTATTAGAGCTACTGTTTATTTTGTGTGTTATAATGTTCAGCAGGTTTAGTAGTCACCCTTTGTAGTTTAAACAACTTTTTTTCCTTATTGAAATTTCTTATTCCATTATAAAAAGGGAGAATAAACAAGAGTCTTTCTTATGTCACCACTTTTATCATACCTTTATTATTAAATTTCCTTGACATGATATTTCTGGACATATATTGCAGGCCTATATGTACGGATTCTTCAATAACAAGCGAATTGTACTTTATGACACATTAGTTCAGCAGGTTTGGGACTACTAACTAGCAGCCAAATTATTTTTTTCTTTCGTAGTGTTATATTTTTGTCTCAAGTCTTGTTGGGGCTTGGTTTCTATGGAATCTTTGCTCTTACATTTTCTCAAGATGCTAATTATTTAATAGATTCTTGAATCCATTTGAATATATGGTTCCTTCTCCCCCCCTTGCATTACTTTCAAAGATCTCAATCACAAAGTTCCAATTTTGAATGCTAGGCTAGGGTTGGTTTGGAAAAATTGCTCTGCTTAAAGCTCGTTCAGATTAGTTGATGGTGATGGCCCTAATTTCTTTTTCGAGAACTACATAGATTTTTATTCTCTAAAATTAGTGAATATTGTATAGAGTCAACACTCATTTTGGTCCGCAGAAGATATTGTTTTGATATATGGAACTCATATATCGTATAATATCTTGATTGTATCTTAGAATAGTTTAGAGTATTCTATATGATATCTTAGAAAGAGTATCTTGATTGTCCGTTTGGGGTGCTTCTGTCACTGCCATTATCTTCATTGTATACTTTTTTGTTGTGGTTGATCTTACATTATCAAATTATCAAATGATGTGTTGCAGTGCAAAAATGATGAGGAAGTGGTAGCTGTTATTGCCCATGAGTTGGGACATTGGAAGCTCAACCATACTGTGTACTCATTTATTGCCATGCAGGTTTGTGTAATAGCATTCCTGTACTGAAATTGAATACTTGATTGCCTCTATATTGATAAAGCATATGTGACATCAGAATTTATTAATGTTACATTTGATGGAGCTGTAAGAAATTTATGTGGCTAGGAAAATTCCTCCATGAACTTGTAAATTTAATCTTCTCTTCTATACAACATTTTTAGAAAGTTAAATTTATGTTTCACTTGGATTATCTCAAGTTGATTTGGTTAGAAGATTATTGATGCCGAAAGCTCATAGAAAAAGTGCCTAAGCAGAAAGTTGGGATCTGGTAAAAGAGAAACCTCTGTTCTCAATTATAATTATAAAAATGACAAAATATGCAACTCCTACACTAAGGGTCTTAAGGATCTCAAGTATGCAACTACTACACTAAAATAATTCAAAATTTTAAATCCTAAAAATAAATGTAACGACAACTACCTTATAAAATAAATAAATATAGTTAAATCTTTCAAAACACGTCTTAAATCATGCCAAATTTGTTGCTTTCCCTTTTTTGTCAAACAAATCACAATCATATCTGTTGTTTCATTTGGACTTGGATTTCGTCGTAATTTGTTATATTTTAAATTGCTGCTTCTGTGGGCATGTGAGAAAAAGATTGCTTGGGCCTTTGTAATAGGTCAACTCTTAAGTGTATCATTTTCGCCCTCGAATGTGCTTTGGCTTCATTGATATCAACCATATCAAAATACCCATATGACACCCTTTTTGTTACTACATCAAGCAAAGGTAGAATCTGAGAAGGAATTTCGGAATTGTTATAATTCTGCTTCATCATTTTTTTTTGCCACTTCTAGGATAGGTTCTTCTGCAATGTCCATAGGCTCTGACTGAACTCGATAATGGAATTCTTCGTTTGATATGCCAACAAGTACTGACTGATTTTGAATATAATTAATTTTCTACTCAGATTCAATCACACTCACAATTTTGCTATTCATCCGAATCATCATAGATTGGATCGTTGTCACAATATTTTTCTTCATCAAAATAATAATAGATTGGATCAACGTCATAATCTTCTTCTCCATCGGAGTTATACAGGACTACCAATCTACCATCATATACTGAAATGTCAGGAATCTCGATCCTCATCTCGCTATCTTAAATAAGTGGACTGATTTCTAGATCGTACTCTCTAATTCCGTCCTTGCTTTAAAATCCTCTAAGGATTGACGTCCCCCTCTTCATTATTAGATGTGTCCTCTGATTCCATTCATTATTCAGATTGAACACCCAACTTAGTTTACGCAAGTTGTTGCTTTAAATCTTGAATTCACCTACTCTGCACATGCATAAGTCGTCGCTTTAATCTGAATCTTGGATCTGCCTTTCGAGCTCTTAATTTTCTGTGTCTTGCAGGTCTATCTTATGTGGTTGTCTGTCTTCTTTAGGAATGAGTGCACGTCCCTTGCCTTCACGACTCTGCCATCCATAACTTCCATGATTCTGTTCAGCTAGCCATTGGTTGAAAGCAACCTAGTGCTATGATACCAAATGATGCCAAAAGCACATAGAAAAAGTGGTTAAATAGGAAGTTGAGATTTTATAAAAGAGAAACTTCTCTTCTCAATTATAATTATCAAAATATCAACTCCTACACTAAGGGTCTTAAGCACCTTTTTATAGGCCAATAATAAAACAATTCAAAATTTACAATCCTAAAAATAAGTAAAATGACAACTACTTTCTAAAAATAAATAAATAAATACAATTAAATCATTTAAAACACATTCCAAATCTTAGATCTCAAATCACTCCAAATTTGTTGCTTTCCCTTTTTTGCTAAAAGAATTTGGTAAAAAAATCACAATCGTAACTGGTACTTCATTTGGACTTGAATTTGGTCGTAATTCGTTATATTTCAGATTGATGTTTCTTTGGGCATGTGAGAAAAAGATTACTTGGGTCACTTTTAATGGATCAGTTCTAAGTGCATCAATTATATTCCTTTCCAATTGTCTCTGTTTCACTCATTGCACTGCTTTAGCCATTCCTCACGGAATATAGTGAATATTTTGAAGGAAAAGGCATTGCAACATTTGGTTAAGAGATTCGTTTAACACTAATATCTATTGATGCACCGATGCAGGTTCTTACACTTCTGCAATTCGGAGGATATACACTTGTGAGGAACTCGACTGATCTCTATCGTAGTTTTGGGTTTGATACACAGCCAGTCCTCATTGGACTCATCATATTTCAGGTTCTTTTCAAAATTATTGTTTACTTGAAAAAAGGATAGTGCTATGCTTTGATTTCTATTTGGCTGCCCATCTTTCAGAGGCATGAGTGGGATACAGATATTTAATGCTAAGATGATAGTCATGCTTTTTTGTTTGTTTGCCCTCTTTTTATACCAATTGAGATCAAAAGACATTGGGGCTTAGATGCAATTATGCAAATATGCATGGTTGTTTTTTTATGCTTGTACACTGGCATGGTTTAGTCACTCCCACTTTGATGCTTGTAAGAACCAGAGGCTCTACTGTGGAAATACTTAGCACATGCATATTTAAAAATTTTAATCTTCATGAATAGTATTCATCTTCCAAGCAAGAGCAGTCTTGGTGCACTGTACAACATGTGAGACATCTCTTTCAGGATTGTTCTTGGGGAACCATGTTTGACTATTGACTTTTAAACTCAACCACCTTTGTGGTCAACCCCTTCTACCAGCCAAAACTAAGGCATCTCTTTCTTCTTTACATATTCCTAGTTGTCATATTCATGCTATTAGTGCGAACTTAAAAACTAGTTTGTGAAGCCACTAGGCAAGGTTTTGGGTAGTTTGCGGGAGCACTTAGGTTTGAATCTCCATGCCATTATTCCTTAGCTAGTTTTCTGTAAGATTTTATTTGGAAAGTACTTAACATTATTTTACCTGGTTTTATTTTCAGCATACTGTAACCCCCCTCCAGCACCTTGTTAGCTTTGGTCTAAATCTTGTGAGCCGATCATTTGAATTTCAGGTTACTCTCCTTTGCTTATTTGGCTGTTTGAAAATAGCAGTGTATTTAAATGTTATTCTGTCCAACATAATACTTTGTCATTTTCAATCAAACCAAGCATAGCCTTGGCCCTTGGGCTCTCTCTCTCTCCGCCTAATGTGTATAATCCAATGCAGGCTGATGATTTCGCCAAGAAGCTTGGATACGCTTCTGCACTCCGGGCTGGTCTTGTGAAACTACAGGCAAGATTTTAATATCTATGCTTATATATATATGTGCGCTTGATGCTCTAGTTTTATCTAACTGTATTGGTGGTGCATCTTATTCATCGTTGCTTTATTGATTTATTTATATTTTATTCTTTTCACGTCATCATGTGGTATTTAAGTAGAAAATGGTATTTGTTCCTAGTGGCTCGAAGTAAAATGTTTTGTGCTGCATTCTAATTGTTTTCTGGTCTGTCCTTCAGGAGGAGAATCTGTCAGCTATGAATACAGATCCTTGGTACTCTGCTTATCACTATTCCCATCCTCCCCTTGTTGAAAGATTGGCTGTACTTGACAAATCTGATAAGAAGGCAAACTAGGGCTAGGAACCTATACATGAAGAGCAGCAAAAATTCATTGTACTGTGACTTTCAATGATTGAGTGCTGCAATTTCTGAAATGTTACTTTATCTTATTTATTATAACAGGGAAAAGTACTTTTGTAGTTTGGGTTTCAGTGACTATGCCTCGATGCAGGCTGCAAGTTAACACCAAATAGCGTAGATGAAATTGAACGAGTGAAAGGAAATTGGGACAAAACAGGACGTAGCTATATGTAACGCTAGGTGCCTTTTTTCCAAACTTACGAGCGGCCACTGAATGGCGTTTTTTGGCCATAACTATCTAGTGATGTCTTTGTTCTTTACCAATTTTTTTTTCTATTACATGTGCTAATCGTTCTTTTATCCTACTTTTACTTTTGCCAGCATTGTTGTTGTAGAGTTATGATTTTGGCATTTTGGTCACATGTTAATAAGTGTAAAGCTTAAAATTAAAGTGAATTTTTATTTATTTATTTATTTATGGGATAGGATATTTTACTTAATTTTTATTTATTTTTTTGTCTGTTTTATCTATTCATTTCAATTAACCTTTATTTTTATTTATTTTTTCTTGAGATTCTGATTTAATGGTATCAGAGATGTATAGGTAAAATAAACATGAAAAAGAATAAATATAATATCCTATCTTTTTATTTAATACCTAGAAAATTGTTCGCTGACTTCTAAGTACTTTCTCTTTTTGGGCTACTAGTCTTTGCATGGAATATTGGGACTATCTTTTTTCTAGAGACAATTATCGCATGAACTAATAATTTAAATAATATCCGGTAGATGCCTCGGTATGATTTCTTCAAGATCAGTGTGGGGATGGAAACTGTCTTGGCTATTTACTAGTTAATTTTGAGATGGTTTTTTAACGGACCGCTTAATCAATTGGGTGACACTAAACGAATATGAAAATAAGGTAACAAAGTATTACAAACGTTTATATGAATCTCTATTTCATTATAATAATTTAGGAGATATTTTAAACAAAGTTTGATCTTTGATGTTTTGGGTGTCTCGTTTATTATTATTCCATCAGATTTTTATTCATTAAAGCGAAACTTAAAGCTAATAATGGAATATATTCTCACGAATCCTTTGGTCTCCCTACTATTGCCATTTTGGTTTCGGTGTAAATAGAGTAGGTTAAGATAGGTTTTGACTTATATAGTCTAGATCTATGTAAAATATTTTAGGTTGGAACTAACCTGTTAATCTTTTGTAGTCTTAAATTATAAGTCTGACTTAATCTATATTTAAAAAAAAAAAAATTAAACTAGGTCTTTTAATCTGTTTAAGCTTATTAAACATTCAATAATTAAAAAATAATTAAAATAATATTTTTTATTAAAAATTATTAAAATATTAATTTTATTTTTTATTTAAAATAAATAATATGATATAGGCCTATAACCTATAGGCCTGACATGTAAAAAAACCTACGACCTATTTTTTAAATAGATTTTTTTTTTTTAAAATCTAGGTATGCTCTATTTGACTATATATAATCCACCAAACCTGACTTGATATAGGTTAGGCCATAGACCTCTATAGACTGACCTAATCTATTTACACCTCTAGCCACTTGCCAGCAAAGGGATCATATTGAATTTAATGCTTACACATGAAATTAATATATATATATATATATATATATAGGGGTTTATTACTCTCAAGTAACAGCAAAATAAACTTTTGTTCCTGCAGACACATTCAAAAATGGGACCCACCAAGGTGAGAGAAAAAAAATATAAAAAGAGGGAGTGGCTCACTTATCGATGTGAGGGCAGGAGACACTGTGGTTTTGCGGTTACTTAAGATAAATAATACCCATATATAGAATGGGAAGCAAAGAGACAAATCATTAGTTGTACAGACGACTTAGTTGAATCATAAACGCTTTCACATCTTCGCTTTATAATGTAAATTAAAATATCAAGAAGATTTAAAACCCCCACAGAAACATTTGAAAAAGTTTTGCTCAATTATATTGCAGGAGCTCAGCTAGTTCTGAACTCTACATTTGGGTGGTGTGGGGAACCTGTTTTACACACTTCTTTGAGGGTTATGAATTTGCAGTGCTATCCTTTTCATCATCTTTGGATTTAGTCCTTTTGTCTAATTACAATTCTACCATTCATATAGTTATTTCAATTAGCATATTTTATTTTCATTTGATAGATAAGTTTTCAAATTGTCAATACTCAGTCCTAGGGGTGAAAATAGGTTGGGTTGGGTTAAGTTTGTAAAAATAAAAGTACCATATGAATTATAAGGTAAACAAAAAACAATAAAAATATGAATATTAACGTGAGATCAGTGACAAATAATGTATGTGTGATGAAAATTTCTACCAAGAAAAACCTTCACAGTTCACATCCTCGTAAGTATATTCATTAAGGATGGTAGAGGCACTCAATAAACCACCATATGTGGAGTTGTATTGCACAGCTTCGTCACCGTTATTCTCTCCAAAGAGTCCGGATCATCAATCAAATAGCTCATTTTAGGAGAGTCTTTAAGATCTTTAGTCCAATATAAAGGATAGAAGGAAGTATTGTCTTCAAAATCCAAATAAAATGGATGATGATCTCGCGCAGGATAAAGTTTGAAGTAATTCATATTCCAATTATAAATTCTCTTGGCAAAGTGGAATATTTTCTAAATGATATCCAGCTCTTGTGGGATTCGTAAACTTTGAACAGACACAAAAAAGAACATAGCGACATGAAGAGATTGTATGCCTTGCATAACATCTCATACTCATGAATAGAACCCAGGCATTTGGGTGCAATTGCGAGGGGGCAACATGAATATGTTTTAAGAAGTTTATGACAAAATTTGAAAAGGGCAGACGAACACTTAATTAAGGTGAGAAAGACATAGTTGTACATTATCAAAAAAATGTTTTGATTGTCACATTTCATAGTCCATAACCTAATTGCCATAAAGTATATACCATAGCTAAAACAAAATTAAACCAAAGTTATTTAGAGTCGTTCCGCAAAGTGATGACGAAGGGTATAACTTGTACAAATATTTGGAAGAACTTGCATCAGTATCTCAATTTCAATTCAAATATGGGTTTGATTCACACTCCATGTTCTGAGAAATATTTAACATCCGAAAAGAGGAAAAAACGGAGTCCTTGTCTAAAAAAATGCCTTGAGAAAGGGCATATGTATAGAACCTTTCAACGAGATAGTGCTTTTTCAACTCTCTCAAAATGGAATCTATTCCTAACATATATACCGTGGTTCCTTACTTCGACAGGGTACAAATATCTAAATTTCATATTTTTAGATACTTTTTCAGACCTATTGCCGATACTAATACTAAGTAGTAGCCAAAGATTTGTATCCATTTTTCATGATATTATGCATGGATCAGATATATCATGGCGAATTCTTCCGATTCCATTGTGGAAGACACAATGGAATCGGATAAGTGAGATTTCGAGTAAGTGTTTACATAATCTTCTTCTGTCCGAGGAAATTCTTCATCGAAATAATGAGTCACCATTGATATCGACACATCTGAGATCGCTAAATGTTCAGGAGTTCCTCTATTTAATCCTTTTCCTTATTCTTGTTGCTGGATATCTCGTTCGTACACACCTTCTCTTTGTTTCTCGAGTCTCTAGTGAGTTACAGACAGAGTTCGAAAAGGTCAAATCTTTGATGATTCCATCATACATGATTGAGTTGCGAAAACTTCTGGATAGGTATCCTACATCTGAACTGAATTCTTTCTGGTTAAGGAATCTCTTTCTAGTTGCTCTGGAACAATTAGGAGATTCTCTAGAAGAAATACGGAGTTCTGCTTCTGGCGGCAACATGCTATGGGGTGGTGGTCCCGCTTATGGGGTCAAATCAAGACGTTCTAAGAAGAAATATTGGAATCTCGTCGATCTCATAAGTATTATACCAAATCCCATCAATCGAATCGTTTTTTCGAGAAATACGAGACATCTAAGTCATACAAGTCAAGCGATTTATTCCTTGATAAGAAAAAAAAACGTGAATGGTGATTGGATTGATGATAAAATAGAATCCTGGGTCTCGAACAGCGATTCGATTGATGATAAAGAAAGAGAATTCTTGGTTCAGTTCTCTACCTTAACGACAGAAAAAAGGATTGATCAAATTCTATTGAGTCTGACTCATAGTGATCATTTATCAAAGAATAACTCTGGTTATCAAATGATTGAACAACCGGGAGCAATTTACTTACGATACTTAGTTGACATTCATAAAAAGTATCTAATGAATTATGAGCTGAATACATCCTGTTTAGCAGAAAGACGTATATTTCTTGCTCATTATCAGACAATCACTTATTCACAAACCCCATGTGGGGTTAATCGTTTTCATTTCCCATCTCATGGGAAACCTTTTCGCTCCGCTTAGCCCTACCCCCCCCTAGGGGTATTTTAGTGATAGGTTCTATAGGAGTTGGACGATCCTATTTGGTCAAATACCTAGCGACAAACTCCTATGTTCCTTTCATTACAGTATTTCTGAACAAGTTCCTGGATAACAAACCTAAGGGTTTTTTTATTGATGAGAGTGACGATAGTGACCATATTGATAATAGTGACGATATCGACCGTGACCTTGATACGGAGCTGGAGCTTCTAACTATGATGAATGTGCTACCTATGGATATGATGCCGGAAATAGACCGATTTTATCTCACCCTTCAATTCGAATTAGCAAAAGCAATGTCTCCTTGCATAATATGGATTCCGAACATTCATGATCTGGATATGAATGAGTCGAATTACTTATCCTTCGGTCTATTAGTGAACTATCTCTCCAGGGATTGTGAAAGATGTTCCACTAGAAATATTCTTGTTATTGCTTCGACTCATATTCCCGAAAAAGTAGATCCCGCTCTAATAGCTCCGAATAAATTAAATACATGTATTAAGATACGAAGGCTTCTTATTCCACAACAACGAAAGCACTTTTTCACTCTTTCATATACTCGGGGATTTCACTTGGAAACGAAAATGTTCCATACTAATGGATTCGGGTCCATAACTATGGGTTTCAATGTACGAGATCTTGTAGCACTTACCAATGAGGCCCTATCGATTAGTATTATACAAAAGAAATCTATTATAGACACTAATCTAATTAGATCTGCTCTTCATAGACAAACTTGGGATTTGCGATCTCAGGTAAATTAAGAAATTGGTTTTGTGACATTCAACATTTTCCTATTGGGAAATGAATCAGTCATGTTACAGGATTAATTATTTTTGTTCCAGCGGAGAGAGTGGGATGCGGGTCCCACGTAAGAAAAAAA